AAAAAAAAGAATGTAAACTGGGACAGACTTTTTGAGAGTGAATTTGATAGTGTGAAATTTTTACCTATGAAAATTTTAAATGTATATACCCTTTAACTCATCATTTCCAATTCACTTGGAGAAACCTAGCCTGCAAAAATACTTGTAAGTGTACACAAAGATACACATACAAAGATGTTCCTTGAAGATTTGCTTTTTTTTTTTCTTTGAGACAAAGTCTCACTTTGTTGCCCAGGCTAGAGTGAGTGCAGTGGCGTCAGCCTAGCTCACAGCAACCTCAAACTCCTGGGCTCAAGCAATCCTACTGCCTCAGCCTCCCGAGTAGCTGGGACTACAGGCATGTGCCACCATGCCTGGATAATTTTTTCCATATATGTTAGTTGGCCAATTCATTTCTATTTATAGTAGAGACGGGGTCTCACTCTTGCTCAGGCTGGTTTCAAACTCCTGACCTCAAGCAATCCGCCCGCCTCAGCCTCCCAGAGTGCTAGGATTACAGGCGTGAGCCACCACGCCTGGCCAAAGATTTGCTTTTAATAGAGAAAAACTAGAAATAAACTGAACTCCCACCAATAGCAGAACTGTTAAGTAAATTATGGTAAATTCATACTATAGAATACTAATGCACTGATGTAGCTCTATGCATCCTAAAATGGAAAAGTGCATCACAAAATAATATATTAATAGCTATCAATAAATATTTGTTGAATGAATGAATGTAAATATGCCCAGTTATTTAAAAAAAGGGGAGAGCATGATATATCTGCATCTAAATAAATATATAAAAAAAGATCTGGAAGGATGTATACCAACTGTTCAGTGTGGTTTCCTCTGAAGAAAGGAATGGGATTGTAATGGAGGGTAGGATCTAGGAGGGAAAAGGGAGTGATTTTTACTCTTTATAGTTTATATTATCTGAATAATTGACAACCAGTATATATTCATGCACTACTTGTATGTTAATACATGCATTTCTAATATGAATACAATTATTTTATTTATTTTTTAAGAGATAGGATCTTCCTATGCTGCCCAAGCTGGAGTGCAGTGGCTATTCAGAGACAGGATCCTAATGCAGTATAACCCCTAGCCTCGAACTCTTGGGTCCGAGTGATCCTTTTGCCTCTTCCTCCTGAGTAGCTAGGACTACAAGCAGGCATGACCACCCTGGCTCAATGTTTAATTTTAAAAAGAAAAAACTATGAAAGTGAAAACAAATTAAATAATTAGATCTCAAAGGTTCTAATCTGTATCAAGGTACCAACTAGAGTAGAATCTCAAAAACAGGATTAACTGCTATGTTTATAATGCAAAATTATCATGTACTATTCTAGGTTCTTAAGTACATTGTTTAATTGATCCTTACAAAAACCATTCCTTACAAAACAGCTTCCAGATCCCCTACCATTCTGGTCATCCTCCTCTGAATATTTGTTAATCTCCCTCTCAAAGTACCCAAAATAGGATACAACATCCCAGGTATGGTCTGGTCAATAACCTTATACAGTGAAACTAACAGGCCTCATAATATGGGCTCTTTACAATGAACATACCTAAAGTGGCTTTATATCATCTGTTTGTGAAATGCTGTTTTCGCACATCCCAGAATTTCACCAAAAATGGACATGAAGGCTCTGATTTTAGCTCACTTCTATAAAATTTTCTCATATTTTATATAAGGTTCCATTCTCTTTTTCAATATATCAAATAGAGTCACAAAACATGGTACTTAGCCACAGGAAAAACATAATTTGAATTAAATATGTCAAGTATAAACAGCATAAAATTTCTAATTTTTTAAAATATTTTTTGTAGAGACTGGGTCTATGTTGCCCAGGTTGGTCTTGAACTCCTGGTCTCAAGCAATCCTACCTCAGTCTCCCAAATGCCGGTATTACAGGTGTGAGCCACCAAACCTGGCCAATAGTATAAAAATTTTATGTTCTTTTTCATGCAGTACTATTTCTCTACACAACTGGATGTTGACTTGTAAAATAAGAAAAAGCTCCTACCAGGTGTCAAGCATGTGACTAGTACTCAGTAAATATAAATTTCTTCCCTTCAGAGTTCATAGCCTTGGTAAGGAAAATGTGTCAAAAGGACTGCTAATTAAAGGCTGTGGGAGAGCTATTGTGCTGTGGATGAAGGATAAAAATTTTCTTCAGAATAAGTTTCCTTATTTTTAAAAATATTTTAGGTATAATTTTAAAAAAATCAGGAAGCTCAATTAGATCAATTATGTTAAAGATGCCATAGGAAGAGAGACTCCTACTTATGGTAATACTTGTTTGAAGCCATTTTGAAAATATCTGAGTGTTTACTATGTATTAACAACATGCCATACTGGGATATGATGATTAAGCTACTATAGTGAACAAGAGGATAAAACAGAAAAGAAAGGTTTTAAGGAAGTGTATGGTACTTTGTAAGGATCATCTTTTCACTTGGACAGAAACAAACTCAACATGGAGAAAAATTAGTTGAAATATGTAACCTTTGGCAACTCAACGTAGTGGTCTCAAAATTGAAAGTATCTCAGGCATGGACCAGCATTGGATTTGGAGCCTAAAGACCTGAGTTCGAATATTGTGTAGGGAAAAAGACATATACGTAAAATATAAAGAGTACCATAAGAGAATTATAAATAAAATGCCATGGAAGTTCAGGGGGTTAATGAGGTTTTAATGAAGTTTCCTGCTAAGAAAGGGTTTAAAGGGTTATTAATATTCTAATATGCAGACAGCAGAAAGGAAAAGGTACTAACATTTATTGTGCATCTATGAAGTGTCACGCCCTGTGCTAAATACATCCATACATTATCTATGTAATTCTTACAACTCCATGATCTTCATTTTAGAGATTGTTACACTAATGCTCAGAGACATTAAGTATTTGCCTAAAGTCACAGAGCAAATAAGTGCAGAGCCAAGAACGAGACAACCAAGTCTGACTAAAATTCTGTGACCTTTCCATTACAACATTTTTTACTTTTATAGGAGTAGAAACAAGAGAGTTAGATAATTAGGACTCAAATAATCTTGAGCCTAATATCAGTCAAAGTTTTAGAAACTGGAATTCATCTTCTTTCCTGTGCTATGTAGTGATTTGCCATTTATTAGTTGAGTAAGTCTACAGCAATGCTTCTTAAACTTTTCCACTTAAGGGAAGAAGAAACTAAACACATCCCGAGAGAGCCCTTAAGCATGAAATCTCTTTTGAAGTATTTGAATCTTGCCTTAACAATGAATATAAATATTGCCTTCTCCATATGTTTTAATATATATAAAAAAATAAAAACTGGAGACAGAGTTTTGCTTTGTTGCCCAGGCTAGAGTGCAATGGCGTGATCACAGCTCACAGCAACCTCAAATTCCTGGGCTCAAGATTCTCCTGTCTCAGGCTCCCAAGTAGCTGGGACTACAGGTGTCAGCCACCACATCCAGCTAATTTTTCTATTTTTTGTAGAGACAAGGTCTCACTATGTTGCTCAGGCTGGTCTCAAACTCCTGTCCTCTAGCCCTCCTCCCAGCTCAGCCTCTCAAAGTGCTGGGATCACAGGCATGAGCTACCATGCGCAGCCAACAATATTTTTCACTCAAGCCTTCAAGTGAAATTGATGACAATTCTATAAATGTGTGCTATGTTATGTGACCAAAGTTTTATCTAATGGCACACTGTAGCATATCTATAGTGCAAATTCTCTAATTTGAAAATCACAGGTCGGAGAGGATAAAGTAAGTTATTTTTTCATTAGTCAAGAAACAATGATTCACACTGAGGATTATTAAGCAGCAAATATAACTTAAGTAAGATTTATTTGCCAGATTCTTATTTTCTTTTTTCAGAGACAGAGTCTCACTCTGTTGTCTGGGCTAGAGTGCCATGGCATCAGCTTAGCTCACAGCAACCTCAAACTCCTGGGCTCAAGCGATGCTACTGCCTCAGCCTCCCTAGTAGCTGGGAGTACAGGCATGTACCACCATGCCCGGCTAATTTTTTCTATATATTTTTAGTTGTCCAATTAATTTCTTTCTATTTTTTTTTAGTAGAGATGGGGGTCTCACTCTTGCTCAGGCTGGTTTGGAACTCCTGACCTTGAGCGATCCTCCCGCCTCGGCCTCCCAGAGTGCTAGGATTATAGGCATGAGCCACCCGGCCTGGCCCATACTCTTATTTTCTATGAGAACATCCTACTGAAAGCAAGAAAGCAATCCTGACCCACATATAGAAAGGAAACACCCTTTTCTCGATGTCACCACATTAATAAATAACTTGTGCCCAATGAGTAGGGATGCACCTTAACAGTTTCCATGGGCCCTTTAAGACCACTAGAAGAAATAAGGTCTTAGTCCTAGAAATGTTAAATAGATTATGCACAAATTTTTAATTATCCTTGATAACACTCCACTCCATTAAAAGGTTATCAACAGATGTCTTAAATTTTTTTCCAAAGTGTTTTCAAATGCATTATTTGATTCAACTTCAGAGTCCATTCCCAGATTAAAACAACAGCAGGCATTATCCCCATTTTACAGAATGCAAAATCAGCATCTATGATAAGGTAAGTATCTCTTCCAAGAATGTAATCAGTGGCAAAGGGAAGCTTAAATCGAGGCATTCTGATTTCCAGCTTACTGATCTACTAAAGAAAACTGCATATATTTTCATACTTAAAGTGTTTCTCAAACTGCAGCATACATTAAGCATATCACATGCTGTCCACTCAATAAGTAACTGATAAACTTGATTTCACAAACAGAAAAAGAGGCTGAACATGATTATGTAACTGGGAACATAGAATAGTACCTCTATTCTCTTAAGACACATTCCTACAAGTACTAGTTTTTATGACAAGAGAGAAAAGAATCAGGAAAGTAGGGGGGTGGGAGATAAACACGGGTTAAAAATCTCAGGAAAAATTTACATATTCATAATGGAATCTAAATTCAAGTGTTTTGTGTTTTTGTTTTTTTACCTAACAATATACTGTTATGGCTTACCTACTTGTCTTTTCCATCACTGTATAGTACTTTTTTTTCCTGTTGGAAGCAATCTACCCTCCCCCCAAAATCTATGAGACCTCGAGAATGTGCCATATAAAGGAAAATGGGCTGTTAGGCGTTTCTCCTTTCCAGTAAAATGTTAATGCAGCATATGCCAACACTGAAAAAATTCTACTTGGATTTACTGTAAAAAATGATTTATAGTATTTTTAAAACCTACGTGTTAATTTTCTTGTCATTAACTTTTTGAAGCATTCTAGTAAGTCTACAACAAAGGAAGGGAAATAAGTATTAGGACCACAACCTATGAATCTGGGTGGAACAAAGACTTCTCCTCCCATTATGCAGAGGGAACCAAGTTGCCAAAAACAGTCCCCTCAGATACCACGCGTGGTTTACTAACTGTACGTCTGGGTATAGAGAAGAAAAAATTCTCGGTCAAATGCCGCCCCTGCCTACCGTCGCCCCCGCCTCTTTTGCCCAAGGCCTCGCCCCAGAGCTACAGTCCCAATCTTTTTCTCCCCAATAAAGGGAAGCGGCGTAACCCTGTGAGTTCTATAACCTCTCGTTCTTCTACGCAGGCGCCGCTCGGCACAACCCCGGTTCTAATCCAGTCGCAGCCCCTCTCCCTGACCCCACCCAGACCCCAAAGGGCTCCCACTGGCCACTGACGTAAGAAAGGCCAAACTCGGCCCCGCGGGGCTGCCCTAAGCAGCCGTGCAGCTCCCAGCCCCGCCACTCCCCCACCTCCGCCCGGCCAAGGCGTGCCCAGAAACGGACGCAAGCGCGCCCCTCAGTGCTGGCACCCGCTCCGCCGAGGGGCGAGGAAGGATCCGCGCAGTCAGCCCCACTCGTGCCTCTCAGCAGCGGCGAGGTGGGCACGAACCTTGCGCTCGCTTTCTGCTCAGTGCCAGGACGAGGGGTGCTGCTCTGCCCGAGAACCCGCCTGGGTAGTGAGGGAAAGAAAGGTGTGGTCCGGGAGCAGCGGCCTCGAATGCGAGCCCGGCAGTTCGCAGGTCCTCATCTGGAGGTGCCGGAGCCTCACCCACGGCCCTGGACCTCTCTCAGCCAGCACCCAAGCCTACTCAGGAGCCTTTTCCGGGGCCGCAAACGCCTAGGCGCCGCCGGGTTGGAACCTCGTCAGGTGGAGACAGGAGGCGATGGGTGACCATGGCAACCCGAGGTGTTCAGCTGCCCGACCCCGCCTCCGCCTTCCGGAGTCACTCACCTGAGGGCTCAGGACGAGCCCGGAGAAGCAGCGGAGGAGAACGCAGCTGGGAGGCCGGCGGCCGGGGCCCCGAAGCGGCTGGCTGTGGACGGGAACGGGAGCGCGAGGGCGGCGGTCTGGGTTTCGCGTCGGCCCTCCCTCCTGCCGCCCGCGCGTCAATCCATCAGTTCGTCAATCCGTCTTTCTCGCATCCGCCCCTCCCGGGCCGGCGACCGCTCAGCTCAGCCTCTAGCAGACTGCGGTTGTCAAGTGCTGCTGGAGCAGAGCTCCAACCACGAGGGGCAGCCAATCGCCGCGCTTCCCCGAGGCTCCTCAGGACCCCGCCGTGCGAGGCGGCCAGGCAGGTGCCTGCGCCGAAGGGAGAGTCGGCAGGGCGGGGCGGGGCGGGGCGGGGCGGGGCGGGGCGGGCTCGGGGGTGGGGCGGCTCACAACCCGGGCGGGGGCCGGCCGTGAGGGATAGGCCAGGCCGGCTCTCCTGGGGCCAGCGGGCCCAGAGGGAAAGGCAGACGATGCAATTGCGTGAGGGCCTCGTAAGCCAGGACGTAGATCCATAGTTGACCGGTGACCCCGTGTCCCAAAATAGTGCGGACAGGGTTGTCACCTCCAAAAACAGAAGTCGTCGGCGCATTAGGATTGACTCTTAATACTCGCCCGGGATAACTTGTTAATAAAGACTAATGAGATAAATCTTGCCTCATCTCCTTCTCTTGCGGCTTTTCCAGGTCCCTGAAAACTCCACTAGTTTGTTTTTTAGTTTATTTTTCCCCTTCTTGCTTTCTCATTTTGTAAACCTGATTTGCCTTGAAGCATTTTCCAGTCTTTTAACCTTTAACTTGTTCACGGTTTTTCTCTATCCCTTTTAGTTGTAAGCCCTTTATTCCCACCCATAGGTACAACAGTATTCCACAAGTACACGTGATGCTCCACAGAGCTGAATTAAGCATTCTAAGGGTATAACTATTGAGAGCTAAGAAAGAATATAGTTACACAAACCTGTAAGAACTCGTCGTCACAAAGGCTCAAGGCCAGAGTGAGCTAGATCTCTCAAAAGGGGAAAATGGGCTAAAAGAGACTGGTAAAGACAATAAACATCAAAAAAATTTCTGGGACTCCCATGTTTATTGCAGCATTATTCACAATAGCCAAAATAAGCAATTTACCTAAGTGCCCAACTGATGAATGGTTAAAGAAACTGTGATATAGATACACAATGGACTTTTTTATTTTTTAGAGGCAGGGTCTTGCTGTGTCTCCCAGGCTGGAGTGCAGTGGCACAGTCATAGCTCACTTCAGCCTCCAGCTCCTGACTTCAAGCAATCTTCCCACTTGCCTACCAAGTAGATAGAACTACAGGCACTCACCACCACGCCCAGCTAATTTTAAAACATTTTTTGTAGAGACTGTGTCTTGCTATTTTGTCCAGGCTGGTCTTGAACTCCTGGCCGAAAGTGATCCTCCCACCTCAGCATTATAGACTGTGAGCCACTGTGCCAGGCCTACAGTGGAATCTTACTCAACCATTAAAAAGAATGAAATCCTGTCATTTGCTGCAATGTGGATGGAACTGAAGGATATTATGTTAAGTGAAGTAAGCCAGGCACAAAAAGATAAATATCTCATGTTCTCACTCATATGTGGGAACTTAAAAAAATTGATATCATGGAGGCAGTGAATAGAATGGTGGTTACCACAGGCTGGGAAGGGTAGTTGCGGGTTGGAGGAGAATGAGGAGGGGTTGGTTAATGGATACAAAAATACAGTTAAACAAGATCCAATATTTGATAGCACAATAGGGTGATTATAGTCAACAATAAGTTGGGTATATTTTATAGTAACTAAAAGAGTGGAATTATAATGTTCTTAACACAAAAAATTATAAATGCTTGAAGTGATAGATATCCCCAGTTACCCTGATTTGATTATAACACATTATATGCCTTTATCAAAATACCACATGTACCCCATAAATATATACAACTTATGTACCCATAATTAAAAATAAGCATTTTTAAAAAATAAAGTTAGAAGGAATAAATTCTAATATTTGATAGCACAATTGGGTGACTATAGTTAAAAATAATTTATTGTATACTTCAAAATAGCTAGAAGGGAAGATTTAGAATGTTACCAACACAAAGAAATAATAATCTTTGAGGTGAAGGATATCCCAGTTACCCAGATTTGATCATTACAAAGTGTATGCTTGTATCAAAATAACACATATACCATAAAGATGTACAACTATTATGTATGCATAAAAATTAAAAATTAAAAAAATACATTTCTATCAGCATCACCTTTCTTTCCAAAAAAAAAAAATACATTTCTGGAAAGGAATAATTTTATCCAATTCAAGATAAAAGAAGCAATAGCTTGAGGAAAACTCTCTAAGAAAAATATTTATAAATTTAGGGAAAACAATTAAGGCACTAAAGCTGAACTACAAAACCGCCATTGCCTAGTCTTGACTACCATAACTCCTACAAGAACGTCTTCATTAAGAACTCTCTCGGCTGGGCGTGGTGGCTCACGCCTGTAATCCTACTACTCTGGGAGGATGGTTTGAGCTCAGGAGTTCGAGACTAGCCTGAGCAAGAATGAGATCCCGTCTCTACTAAAAAAATAGAAAGAAATTAGCTGGACAACTATATATACATATATATATATATATATATATATATATATGTATATATATATATATATTAGCCGGGCATGGTGGTGCATGCCTGTAGTCCCAGCTACTCATGAGTCTGAGACAGAAGGATCACTTGAGCCCAGGAGTTTGAGTTGCTGTGAGCTAGGCTGAGGCCACAGCAATCTAGCCCAGGCAACAGAGTGAGACTCTGTCTCAAAAAAAAAAAAAAAGAACTCTCTCAATGATGACAGTCAAATAAATATAAATACAGTTTAATGTTCCCAGGGTCTTGATGTTGAAAATAAAACAAGCAAACACTTTACAAATGTTTACATTGAAAATACTTTACAAATGTTTACATTGAAAGAATGGGCAGATATGATGTATTCTGGAAATAGTCTCTCAATTATTTTGCCAGTGTAGTTAATCTCAGAAACCTCCTCTAAATCGTGACTCTTGAACAACAGCACTTACAAGAGCCAGCATCATTTATTTATTTTTTCACATCATTCTTATTTTATGTTTTTATCATGATACTTTCACATTTGTGGTTTCATTTAATCCTGGAAATGGTGCCTTGTATGATATTTGCATACTGGTGTTATATCTAGGGGGATGAATGGATTTTTATAGTGATGTAGCTTCCATTTCCTTTATATCTCTGTATTTCCATTCAGTCAGTCCACTGAGAAGTGTTCAGTTACCTTGCAAAGTTCACCCACTTTAATGAAGAGAAAATTCTTTTGTACTCTTCTTTCTGAGATCAGAATTCCACTTTACCATGAGTCCTAGAAGTTGGAAGTCCAAGATCAAGGTGTCAGCATGGTTGAGTTTTGATGAGATCTCTCTTCTTGGCTTGCAGATGGCCGACTTTTCACTGTGTCCTCACATGGTCTTTCCTCTGTGTGTGCATGGAGAGAGTGAGCCAGTATCATTTGAATATTTGAATCTTCAACTAGATCTAGAAAAAGTTACTAATCAGGGACAATCTAACAAACATCTGAGCACCCACTTGGGACAAAGTGCTAGAAAAAAAGAACCTGATCTTCTAGTACTAGATTGGTTTCTGCATTCATTTAGCACAAAATGAAGTGTTTTGCCTGTGTTTTCATTTAATCCTCACATTCTCCCTTAAAACACCAGTTAATTATTCCCATTTTGGAGATTAAGGAAATAACTAGCCCAAGGTCACACAGCTAATATGTAGCCAATCAAGGATTCTAACCAATCTGACTTTTTTTTTTTTAATGAGTATTTTTTTTTTTTTTATACAGAGTCTCACTTTGTTGCCTAGGCTAGAGTGAGTGCCATGGCATCAGCCTAGCTCACAGCAACCTCAAACTCCCGGGCTCAAGGGATCCTTCTGCCTCAGCCTCCCGAGTAGCTGGGACTACAGGCATGCGCCACCATGCCTGGCTAATTTTTTCTATATGTTAGTTGGCCAATTCATTTCTATTTATAGTAGAGACGGGGTCTCGCTCTTGCTCAGGCTGAACTCAAACGATCCACCCACCTCGACCTCCCAGAGAGCTAGAATTACAGGCATGGCCACCGTGCCCGGCCCAATCTGACTTTTAAGAACACTTTTTTCCACTCTACCTCACTGTATCAAATGGAAATTTTAGCTTGAAAACAATGGACCCTATCCTGACAAGGTAGGGAGGATAAGAGGTCTTATTTATAGTTATATCCCCCATACCCTGTGGCATAGTATTATTTGCATGTAAATTTTCAATAAATAGTAATCAGCATTGTCAGAAGCAAATACATAACCATTTTATTTCTGGGGAAAGTGGGTGGAAGGAGGGAAGGGACCAGGCACTGAAATATAAGACATCTGGTACCCCTTATCACTTGTACACTGATAAACACATTGACTATATATTTGCTTACTAATGTAACACCCAGTTTTACACTCCAGGCTTAATAGCTGTTGGCCTGGTTGGTCCTAGTGCAGTGGTGTTTACAACTAACGGATCACTACCACTTACAGATTCCTTTGTTCCTTCTTCACTCCTGTTACTTCACTTAACTAGCCTTAAAAAAAAAAATTTAAAAAAATAGCTGTTAGCCTAAGCCAGGGGTCCTCAAACTTTTTAAACAGGGGGCCAGTTCATTGTCCCTCAGACCATTGGAGGGCTGGACTATAGTTTTAAAAAAACTATGAACAAATTCCTATGCACACTGCATATATCTTATTTTGCAGTAAAAAAACAAACAGGCAAAAACACCCGCATGTGGCCCGCGGGCCGTAGTTTGAGGACACCTGGCTAAGCTATTACCTTTCCTTCTATACTCAGCCACACTGGTTAAGATTAGATCTTGTCTTTCACTCTAGTTGTTGCAATAGCAGTGAATTGTTCAGAAAGGACAAAGCTTTCTTAGATGAAGGGCTGTCCTGAGATCCCAAGTTACTGCCTCTGTCATTTGCCAAATATTTGCTGAATGCCTACTCTGCATCAGGAACTAGGTTAGGCATCATTTGGAAATGCAGGTTCTAACTTGACAAAATGATTCATGGTGCCTTGTGACTTAAATGCCTATAGGCTAAGGTGGACCCCTTTTAATATGATTCTCAAATCTTATTTTTAAAAAGGGGAATAGAAGGTTTTGGTTTCCCCCAAATAGAAAGGAATCTGTGCACAAGCCCAAACTAGGAAATCTTGCCTCAAGGAGTTCAGAGGAAGTTCAGTGGGGATAAGGGAGTTTGTTTTAGAAGCTCCACTCTCATTACTAGAACATAGGCACATACGGTACATACATATATCAAAGAGCTTTGTGCTTCAGAGTCAGCAGCACAATACCCAACATAAGGAATCCACCTAAGTGAGGCTTTGGGAGAACAAAGCACCACCCCTTCTGCTTCTTCAAACAGATCAAGGATTATGGAGGTAGAATAACTTGGATCTATCAGGGCTCGTACTAGACCCCTAAACAAAAACTTAAATTACACCTAATAGAGATAATCACACCTGTAATCTCAACACTTTGGGAGGCTGAGGAGGGAGGATCACTTGAGCCTGGAAGTGTGGGGTCCCAGTGAGCTTGTGGTCTCTGCAACAGACGGAGACCCTATCTCAAAAAAAAAAAAGATGTGCTTTTATTTGTATTAATATCTGATGTGTTATATTTATTTGAAAAATATCCCATTTTGTTTTTTTTTTTTTTTTTTTTTGAGACAGAGTCTCGCTTGTTGCCCAGGCTAGAGTGAGTGGCGTCAGCCTAGCTCACAGCAACCTCGAACTCCTGGGCTCAAGCAATCTTGCTGCCTCAGCCTCCCGAGTAGCTGGGACTACAGGCATGTGCCACCATGCCCAGCTAAGTTTTTCTATATATATTAGTTGGCCAATTAATTTCTTTCTATTTATAGTAGAGATGGGGTCTCACTCTTGCTCAGGCTGGTTTTCAACTCCTGACCTCGAGCAATCCACCACCTCGGCTTCCCAGAGTGCTAGGATTACAGGCGTGAGCCAACCTGCCTGGCCTTGCTTTATGTATTATTAATAGTAACATTTCCTAACATTTAGTTTCCCTTGACATATATCAAGACTTGATCAACATGGCTTAGGCGGCGGCGGTGGCTCAAAGCCTGTGAATCCTAGCACCTGGGAGGCCGAGGCGGGCGGAGGATTGCTCGATGGTCAGGGAGTCGAAAACCAGCTGAGAAGAGCAAGACCCCGTCTCTACTATAAAATAGAGAAACGTTCAATTGGCCAACTTAAGGGCACTCACTCTAGCCTGGGCAACAAAGCAAGACTCTGTCTCAAAAATAATAATAATAATAATAATAATACATAAAGCAAATTAAGCATCACAATTTCAGATAGGTGTTTTAGGATAAGGTTAGAAAGGTTCTAGTAATAAGCTTGAGACCATTTAGTAGAACTTGCTATAACGATGGAAGAAATGTCTTAGAGATTCACTAAAACAAGTCTGGATAGGTGTCTTGTTTTAAGTTCATATGCTCCCCCAAATCTATTCTATTTCAGAAAAATCAAGTATAGTAATATTTTTTCTTTTAGAGTTTGGTCAGTAACTAAATAGGTCCTTTCCCAACAAAAATTTCAGTTATTTATCTAAAATGACCATGCAAAGGCAAATGGCAACATGTTTTAGCAATTGTTCTTCCTATCCTAAAAGAATACACCTAAGGATGTCAAAGCAGTTTACCAAGCTTTCTGTACAAGTATAAAAAATAAAGTGAATATGTACATAAAAGTCTCAGTACTACAAATATCATATAGGAACTTCTACCAATCTACTGGTAACATGTAAGAAAAGTGCTCCTTAATTTCTTTTTATTTTATTTTTTTTTCTTTTTGAGATAGAGTCTCACTCTCTTGCCTGGGCTAGGGTGCCATGGCATCAGCCTAGCTCACAGCAACCTCAAACTCCTGGGCTCAAGCAACTCTCCTGCCTCAGCCTCCTGAGTAGCTGAGACTACAGGCACGCAACATTTTTCTATTTTTAGTTGTTTGGCTAATTTCTTTCTATTTATAGTAGAGACAGGGTCTTATTCTTGCTCAGGCTGGTCTCGAACTCCTGAGCTCAAGCAATCTTCCCACCTCGGCCTCCCAGAGTGCTAGCATTACAGGCTTGAGCCACCGCACCTGGCCCTTAGTTTCTATACCTTTAGAATTTCATTTATCCAGATACCACATAGCAAAATGGTATCTGTGCTATACCTCAAATACAACAGGTGTTTAATAAATACTTGTCTGATACATCAAAACTTTTTTCTTGATCCTATCCCATAATTTATTAATAATAATGTAAATAGCTCATGTGGTCATTTACTAGGACCTAGGAAAAGCAACAGCCTTCAACAACACATTTAACACCTTGTTCACTGATTATCCACACTCCAATCTCTATTTGTGTCAAGAAGGAAAACATGGGAACCCTAAGAAAATCAGGCCTAGAGAATTGGGAATGTTCTGGGATGCAGGCAGAGATTTTAAAAGTTCTTGATTTTCAGGCATAATGCTCAGTGTTGTCAGCTCTTACAAGCAACTATGAGGCTTTCCTAAAGAACCTGGAACACGCTGGATGCAATGGTTCATGCCTGTAATCTTAGCACTTTGGGAAGCTGATTGTCACTTGAGGCCAGGAGTTCAAAACCAGCCTATGCAACATAGTGAGACCCTGTCTCTACCAAAAATAAAAAAAAAAATTAGCTGGGCATAGTGGTGCACACCTTTGTCCAGCTACTTGAGAGGCTGAGGCAGGAGGATCTCTAGAGCCCAGGAGTTTGAGGCTGCAGAGAGCTTGCCACCCTGGGAGAGACAGAGCAAGACCCTTATAAAAAAAATAAATAAAAATAAAATAACATAAACTTGGAGGAAAAATTACCCTATTTGAATTACTTCTGAGATCAACATCTAAATGAATTAAAGATATGCAAAGTCACCATAAAGTGAAAATCATAGATAGAGCTTGGATGAGTATCATCAATAGAAGTGAGGCCTCGAGCCAAATTTTCAGTGTCAGTAACAAGACAATCCTGAAGGTGGCTCTCCAGGCAACCCATCCCTCTGCATTGCTCCAGGTCCTAGTGAAGCATTTTCCTAATTTTGTATTAACTCTATCCTATATTACCTGATGCTCTAGAGAATGCTCTCATGTAATTCCCCTCATTATGATACACCCTCATGCGTTTCCTACATGCGTCTGCCTAGAGAAGGAAGAATGTGACAGTCACACAGGTACAATATTTACTTATATCTGTATCCATTTTCACACATTGGTCTTATGAGCTCGGTTTCTATGGGTCCACGCCGAGAGATGGATATACTCTCCGTTTGCTGATGAAATCAGTTTCTGAGCCTGCAATGCCGCAAATCAAACTCCGGGCTACAGCATTTTCACCCAAGTAATGCAACCTCCTGAGGCCTCTTGGAAAATAGCCAAATGACTCTCTAGGCAACAACCCTCTCCACTGATGGGAGGCCAAGTAAGCTATCTTCTCTATTTAAAAATTTCTACTTTGGCCGGGTGCGGTGGCTCACGCCTGTAATCCTAGCACTCTGGGAGGCTGAGGCAGGAGGATTGCTCGAGGTCAGGAGTTCAAAACCAGCCTGAGCAAGAGTGAGACCCTGTCTCTACCATAAACAGAAAGAAATTAATTGGCCAACTAATATATATAGAAAAAATTAGCCAGGCATGGTGGCGCATGCCTATAGTTCCAGCTACTTGGGAGGTTAAGGCAACAGGATTGCTTGAGCCCAGGAGTTTGAGGTTGCTGTGAGCTAGGCTGATGCCATGGCACTCACTCTAGCCTGGGCAACAAAGCGAGACTCTGTGTCAAAAAACAAAAAAAAAATTCTACCCTTAGAAATAATATCACAGCTTACTCAAGAACATCAATTTCAATACAGTAAAACCAATTTCAATACAGTAAGAAAAATGTTCTGCCTGAGCATCTAATAAACATGACAGCTAAAGAAAGGCATAATTTTTTTAAAGAGAGACTTTCACCTAAAACAAAGTAGGGGTGGGAACTATTATAGATTAAAAGAAATTTAGACATGCCAAATGCAATGGGTGACACCTTGTTTAGATACTTTTTTTTTTGAGACAGTCTCGCTTTGTTGCCCAGGCTAGAGTGAGTGCCATGGCGTCAGGCTAGCTCACAACAACCTCAAACTCCTGGGCTCAAGCAATCCTACTGCCTCAGCCTCCCGAGTAGCTGGGACTACAGGCATGTGCCACCATGCCCGGCTAATTTTTTCTATATATATTAATTGGCCAATTAATTTCTTTCTATGTTTAGTGGAGACGGGGGTCTCACTCTTGCTCAGGCTGGTTTTGAACTCCTGACCTTGAGCAATCTGCCCACCTTGGCCTCCCCAAGTGCTAGGATTACGGGCGTGAACCACCTAGATCCTATTCAAACAAACTGTGGGAGGCACAATAATAGCCCCTGAAAGATGTCCAAGTACTAATCCTCAGAACCTGTGAATATGTTACTTGACATGGTAAAAGAGACTTTGCTAGAGTGATTAAGGACCTTGAAACACAGAAAGTAGCCTAGGCTCTCCAGGTGGGTCCAATATAACCATAGAGAATCCTTCCCAGCTGGGGTCACAGGGAGACGTGACTACAGAAGGGTCAGAAAGATGCAACATTGTTAGCTTTGAAGAAAGGGACCATGAGCCAAGAAATGTAGCCTCTAGAAGGTGGAAAAGGCAAGTATACAGGTTCTCTCCTAGAACATCCAAAAAGGAACACAACTGTGTCAGCACCTTGATTTTAGCCCAGTGAATCTAGGGTTAGACTTCTTACCTAGAGAACTGGCTAGGTAATAAATTTGTGTTGTCACTAAATGAGCAGTAATTTGTTACAGCAGCAATAGAAAACTTATATACAAACTGAAAAGAGATATGTTGAGAAATCAGGAAGATTTAAACAGGCATTGGGTGTTAGATGGAATATTGAGGAATTAGTGTTAATTTTTGATAGGATATGATAACAGTATTTGGGTTACCACTTTGTTTGAAATACCTACTGAAGTATCTATAGATGAAATAGTACAATGATGTCTAGGCTTTGATTGCAAATGATACTGCTCCCCCCTTTAAAAAGGTAGAGAAATAGATAAAAACAAATTGACAAAAAGTTGGTTACTTGTTAAAGCTGAGAGGTCATTACACTATTCTATTTTTTGTTTATGCTCAAGATTTTCCATAGTAAGTTTTTTTAAAAAGGTGAATTAACTTAGGAGAGAGCACTTACACACTCCAGATCAGCACTTTGCAAAAGAATTTTCTGCAATGAAAGAAATGTTCTCTATCAACATTGTCCAATGCTGTAGCCACTAGCCATGGGGCTATTAAGCTCTTAAAATATAGCAAGTGTTTGGGAAGCTGACGCAGGACAATCACTTGAGGCCAGTAACTCGAAACCAGCTTGGACAACATAGCAAGACCTCAACTCTACAAAAATTAAGAAAAATTAGCCAGTTATGGTGGCGAGTGCCTGTAGGCCTAGCTACTCTGAAGGCTGGGGCAAGAGGATCACTTGAGCCCAGGAGTTTAAGTCTGCGGTAAACTATGATCACACCATTGCACTTCAGCCAAGGCAACAGAATGAAACCCTGTCTCTCAAAAAAAACAAACACACACACACACATACAGAGCAAGTGCAACTGAGGGACTGAATTCTTAATTTAATTAAATTTAAATAGCCACATGTGGCTACTGGCTACGATATTATACAGTGCAGCTCTAGATATTGGAAGACAGCCATGCTGCTTCACTATCAGAATTCAAAGTTAGTAAGTTCATGAATTAAGTCAGTCTTCCCAGCCACCCTTTCTCTTTTTTGCTAAGTAGCAGTACTTAGCTTTCTGCTCCCACCTCCTACAAGCCCTTCTTTACCACAGAGGTGGGGCATGAGATCCAAGAGACAGTACAACTCCTTCCTGGCCACAGTGATTGGCCCAAGAAGAAAGTGACCAGTGCCAGGACAATGATAATCCTTGCTTGGAATTTCCTGTACTTGAAAGTGAAGCAGCTCCTTCAATTTGGAGCTTTAATGGAAATCCATACCATGCTCGTGGATCGGCAGACTCAATATCATCAAAATGTCTATACTACCCAAACTGATCTACACATTCAATGCAATACCTATTAAAATCCCATCAGCATTCTTCACAGATATAGAAAAAATAATTTTACGCTTCGTATGGAACCAAAGAAGACCCCGAATATCAAGAGCAATTCTAGGCAACAAAAACAAAATGGGAGGCATTAATATGCCAGATATCAAACTATACTACAAAGCTGTAGTAATTAAAACAATATGGTATTGGCACAAAAATAGGAATATTGACCAGTGGAACAGATGTGAGAATCCTGATAAAACCATCCTCATATAGCCATCTAATCTTTGACAAAGCAGACAAAAACATACGCTGGGGAAAAGAATCCCTCTTCAATAAATGGTGCTGGGAAAACTGGATAGCCACCTGTAGAAGGCTAAAACAGGACCCACACCTTTCACCTCTCACAAAAACCAACTCACGCTGGATAACAGACTTAAACCTAAAGTATGAAACTATTAGAACTCTAGAGGAAAAAGTTGGAAACACTCTCCTAGACATTGGCCTAGGCAAAGAGTTTATGAAGAAGTCCCCAAAGGCAATCACAGCAGCAACAAAAATAAATAAATGGGACATGATCAAACTACAAAGCTTCTGCACAGCCAAAGAAATAGTCAAGAAAGTAAACAGACAACCTACAGAATGGGAGAAAATTTGTGCATCCTATGCATCCGATAAGGGACTGATAACTAGAATATACTTAGAACTCACGAAAATCAGGAAGAAAAAATCAAATAACCCCATTAAAAAGTGGGCAAAGGACTTGAACAGAAATTTTCTAAAGAAGACAGAAGAAGGCCAACAAACATATGAAAAAATGCTCAACATCTCTAATCATCAGGGAAATGCAAATCAAAACCACAATGATGAATCACTTAACCCCAGTGAGAATGGCCTTTATCAAAAAATCTCCAAACAATAAATGCTGGCGTGGTTGCGGAGAGAGAGGAACACTCCTACACTGCTGGTGGGACTGCAAACTAGTTCAACCTCTGTGGAAGCAATATGGAGAATCCTTAAAGTGATACAAGTGAATCTACCATTTGATCCAGCAATCCCATTGCTGGGCATCTACCCAAATGATCCAATGACACTCTACAAAAAAGACACCTCCACTCGAATGTTTATAGCAGCACAATTCATAATTGCAAGGCTGTGGAAACAGCCCAAGTGCCCATCAATCCAAGAATGGATTAATAAAATGTGGTATATGTATACCATGGAGTACTATTCAGCTCTAAGAAACAATGGTGACATAGCACATCTTATATTTTCCTGGTTAGAGCTGGAACCCATACTTAAGTGAAGTTTCCCAAGAATGGAAAAACAAGCACCAGATATATTCTCCAGCAAACTGGTATTAACTGAGTAGCACCTAAGTGGACACATAGGTACTACAGTAATAGGGTATTGGGCAGGTGGGAGGGGGGCGGGTATATACATACATAATGAGTGAGATGTGCCCCATCTGGGGGATGGTCATGATGGAGACTCAGACTTTTGGGGGGAGGGGGGGAAATGGGCATTTATTGAAACCTTAAAATCTGTACCCCCATAATATGCTGAAATAAAAAAGAAAAAAAGAAATGGAATCCTAGAACTGCCAGCCATCATGTCCCTTTGCCATATTGAGAGTAAAACCAAAATTAGGATGAAAACTGGAGAGACAAAGAATCTTGATTCTCAAGTACTTAGATCCAGTCAACCCTGAAGTCAGCTTCATCCCTTCTTTCCCATGTTTCAGTTAGGTAGGCCAATAAATTCCTTTTTTGCTTATGCTAGTTTTAAGTTCTATCACTTACAACCTAAAAGACTTAACACAAAATACCATAAAAAAAGTTTTAAATTTGACAGTTATTAGAATAGTAAGACACTCAACATGACTGAGACATGATTCAAGTCAGTCAGTGAATTTATAACACCCCTCTGCACAGGGTAAGTAAATACAGACTAATGGTACCCGGTATATAACTTCCCTAGTGGCAGTTACTACCATTTCCTTTCTCAGAGGGAAGCAGGCCACAATTAGCAAAAATAGTGATATTTTAATATTTTATTCTACTCCCATTCTTTATATTTTGATTTAGACTGGGATAGCTTTTCAATTGGCTGTTGCTTTTTTAAATAACAAAAAGATCTAGATATGCACTGAATCTCACTATCAATTCAGGAGCATTGCAAGAATAAGAAAAAAGTTTTTAGTGAGAGTAAGCAGCTAGAATTATCATATTACCAGTAATGGGCATAATATTCTGGGAGAAAAAGGTTATAAATCATTGTCAAATTCAAGCAGTAACCTGTTTAATTTTTCATACTTTATTCCTTGTATTAATAGGTTAAAAAAGTAAAATTTTCCCAAGCACTGACTTATAGGTAATGTTTATAAGTGGCACACAAAAAGTTCAGTTTCACAAAGAGTTAACATTCAGTGATCTATTTAAATACAATTTTAATCCTAATTTTAAGAGTAGTGCTATAATAATTTAATACAATAAGCTACATACACACAAAACCTGTATATCCTGCACTACAAAAGTAGTTTCCATCTAGTTCTGCTTCTGTGATTGGTAAAATAAAAAAAAAAAAGACAAAAGTAGTTTCCATAGACACATATGATTTTCATCAAGTACACATTTCCAAAATGAACAATTACAAATATGTTAATAAAACACTATCCTAAATGCTTATCTTGCCATGAATGCCATTCAATTTTTAAGCAATGTCATTCTTGCTACTGAAAGCATTTATTTTTAGAAGCTTTAATCTGATCTGGGAAAATGAGTTATCCCAAAACTTAACAAATAGTATGTTATAAGCCCCAAAAAGTTTTAAATAAAAAAAGCCTTCTAACACAGAACCATTCACATGAAACTTTGTTTCTCCAAAAAAATAAAATCATTCTTGTTACCTGAAAAAAAGAATATTAAAACAAATTATCTTTTAAAACATTCTTACAAAAAACCTTTATTTTCCTGTATCTCCTTAAAAGAAACACAAAAAAGTTCACTATAATAACCTCTCAGACTACTTTTGTATAAAAACTTCAGAGTACATAAACCACGTTTCAGCTATCATAGAGTCAAAGATGCCATTTAAATTTCACATATTAGACAGCTACAGTACAGCTTACAAAGACACAAATACACAACACATAAATACTATTTCATCCTTTAGATAGTCAAAAGTCAGAAGAAATTGCATGGTTTGCAAGGTACTTTAACTTATGTGTGGTCATTAAAACCAAGTAAGTAATTCAAATATGGTCATATAAAGGCAGGCAATTAATCCAATATCACTCTAAAATCTAAGGCATGAAAATAAAGGCAGAAAACTGTGTTTCTCCACCTTTCATTTACATAGGTAGGTATCAAGACCTTACTATAGAAAATATACAATTATTATATACATTTTCCCTAGAACATAATGGGAGTTTCAGTTACTACAAAAGGTGTCAAGATCCATAGTTTGCTTCATCAAATGCTTTTCTAGCTCGTTTCAATTCTTCATTCATAGTAAGTAAGTCTTTAACCCTAGCAAACTTCCTTGGGTCCTTTCGAATCAAGAAGACGATATCTTCAACTTGTACTCGACCTTGTCTTCCAATTGACATTGCCTTGTGAGTCTATTAAAAAGAAACAAATTAAATTTTTAAAAATCTAATATTTTACTGTTTTAATTCACATTTATTAATTGCTGGTTGATGTTGAAGATTTTCTCTTCTAATTATTATAGCTATTCATATGTGAACTTTCTATTCATGTCCTTTGACCATTTTCTAGTAGGCTATCAGCAGTGTTTCTCCTTATGCTTCATAGGCACTTTAAAAAAAAATTAAAGACATTAAAACCATCACATTTATTGATGTTCCTTTTTTGTTTTTTTGATATAGTAGTTTTTGTCTTCCTTTGTATAAAATAATTTTATAATTTCTTTGTAATCACCCATTCCATTTATGCTTTGAGTCCTCCTCCATCCCAATAGCCAATAAATATTAGTAGGTTTTCTTAAAATCAAATAAATAAACCTCATCCATTATATATACGTATCCTGTGCAAAAACAAAGATTTGCCATACCATTACTTCTAATGACTAAAATATGGAAACTAAATATTTAATAATAAGGCATTGAGTAAATAGGCCGGGTGCGGTGGCTCACGCTTGTAATCCTAACACTCTGGGAGGCCGAGGCGGGTGGATTGCTCGAGGTCAGGAGTTGAAAACCAGCCTGAGCAAGAGCAAAACCCCGTCTCTACTATAAATAGAAAGAAATTAATTGGCCAACTAATATATATAGAAAAAATTAGCCAGGCATGGTGGCACATGCCTGTAGTCCCAGCTACTTGGGAGGCTGAGGCAGTAGGATCGCTTGAGCCCAGGAGTTTGAGGTTGCTGTGAGCTAGGCTGATGGACGCCACTGCACTCACTGTAGCCTGGGCAACAAAGTGAGACTCTGTCTCAAAAAAAAAAAAAAAAAAAAAAAGACTATATGATTCCAATTTTATAAAGAGGTTAAAAATATGTACAAAAAGACAAAATGATATTCACCAAAATTTTAGCTTTAGTTGTCTATAACTGGAAGGATTACAGATTTTTATTTTCATAGCTGTATTTTTTTATACTTTTTAGATTACATTAATCAATATTACTTTTGTAAATAGAAATTTTTAAATGCATCATACTTTCTGACCCAGTAATTTTACTTCTATTATGTAGTAAGGAAACAATCCAAAACATAGGGTAAAAATTTGTGTACTAAATACAACCAAACTCTGTAATTCCCATCCCTGTAAATACAGCCAAGAAAAGGAAAGAGGGGAAATTTCATTAATATGATTATTCAACTTTATGCAGATAAAAGTAAAACAACCTGGAAATAACTTATATAATAAGGAAATGTTTAAGTAAGTTAGAAAACAATTTCAGTAAATTTTAGGTAGCTACTAAAATAATTATGATTAGAACACAAGAAATATGTATTATAAAACTTGGAGTAAAAAGAATGTTACTATGATCACTACTATGTAAAACATTATGTATCTTTAAGTAAACACTGGAAAAGGAGGGGAAGGCTGGGCACAGTGGCTCACACCTGTAATCCTAGAACTCTGGGAGGCTGAGACAGGAGGATTGCTTGAGCTCAGGAGTTAGAGACCAGCCTAAGCAAGAGTGAGACCCCATCTCTACTAAAAATAGTAAAAATTAGCCAGGTGTGGTGGTACACACCTGCAGTCCCTCCTACTTGGGAGGCTGAGGCAAGAGGATTGCTTAAGCCTAGGAGTTTGAGGTTGCTGTGAGTGAGGCTGACACAATGGCACTCTAGTCCCAATGACACAGAGACTGTTTCTAAAAAAAAAAAAAAAAGATGGAAAAAAACAATGTTGGATAATGGGAATGTGGATAATATTTTTCTTTTATTCAGGGATTTTATGTGTTTATAAATAAAATTCAGGAGGCAAGGATAGAATACAAAGGTATAATCTCCATCCCTACTGATAAATATAACCAGTAACTTCCACAAATAAGCACTCGAATGGATAGCTAATTTCAATATGATGCCATAAGTTTTAGTCTCATCTAAAGCTTATAATTTCAAATCTATTCTTCAATTAACTAAGACCAATTACAAAAGAATCTTACCATTTCAGTGATGAACTCTATGACAAGGTCTTCAAGAATATCTACTGACTCAGTATAAGGATTCTGGTCATCTCCAAAGCCATACATCATACATCTCACTATAAAAAAATCATTTTTGTTTAGTTGAACAGATTTCACAATTTGACCAAGACTTTTTAAAAATAAACTAGAAATGAACCAAGTCATAGAAGATATTGGTATAAAAACATATTTACATTATATTTGTTGTCTCCAAATATGAATTTTGGCATAAAAGGTTTAACCACAGTCGTATGAGCAACTGTTCCCACTGAGCCTCCAACAAAACTCTACTTCCTTCAGCTACTGAACCCTAATGTCAACATTTCTTTTCCTAATCTCTATCATCTACTCGTCAGTAACTCCAGAATACATTTAAGTAGGAGACTCCGTGGCAGGGACAGGATGTGTAGCAATGGCTTAGCCTTTTCTGGGAGGTGCTTTTTGTGTGTGGGCACAGCAGAGGGGCATTAAAAAAGAGAAGGCAGAATCCTTTTTGATATTACCATAGGGGAAAGGACATGAGAGAAAGTGTCCCAATGACCTTATAGGAAAAAACAGTATTCAAAAGAAAAAGCAGAAGGCTTCTACAAAGAATTCTGACATTTCATTTCCTATAATAGATCAGTGCAACTGTCAGCAAAGCCCTTTCAGGTGTCATATGAAGGAACCATAGAAAATGTAAAAGAGAAAAAAGTCTAATACATAGCAATAAAAATAACTACTAAGAGATAAAACTTACTAGCTCTTATTATATGCCAGGTACTATTTTAAGTCCTTTACATATATAAATTATTTAATCCTCACGACAATCCTTTGTATTATCATCGCCATTCTATAGATGAGAAAATGGAGGCACTGAGTTAAGTGATTTACCCATGGTCACACAGCTAAGAAATTGAATCTAAATTTGAACCAGGTGATTTGATTCCAGAGTCTTCACTCCTACCCACAACAGTATTTCTTTTTTTCTTTCTTTCTATTCTTTTCTTCTTTAATTTCACAAACTATATAACTTGTTAGGAACATTGAATATGAGGCAAACCATGACAAGAAATATCAACTAAAAAGCTAAATATGTAGATTCACTCTGGAGTTTAGTCTGACCGCTTAGATTACTGGCTTTTTATTTGTTTATTTACTTTTTGTAAGCATTAGTTTATATATCTATGAGTGATAGAAACCTAATGTACATGAGCAGGATTCTGTTAATAATTTAATAGCTCAACCCCACACTGACATTTTTATTCTTAACCTGTATTTAACTATAATAATGGGTTCTGCCCTCACTAGGACTTCTTCATATATCAAAACTTTCTTGCTAAGCTAAGGGATGTACTTATTATGTTTTCCCAGGGATTATTTTATTTTATTTCAGCATATTACGGGGCTACAACAGTATTTCACTTCAGAGTTTAGGACTGATGGGATCCATATGGACTCTTATCCTATAATCTATAAACTCCCATTTGGTCCACAGACAAGCTTAGAAGTCCTTGAGTCTTTCCTGAAATTATACAGAAAAATTTTATACATTATCTATATGTGTACATTTTCCTGGGAAGAAGAATTATAACTTTTATCAGATTCTCAAAGGGGTATGTAAATGTTAAGAAATGCTGTCAAATGCTGGAAACATTTTGTATCTTCATCTTAGTGGTGGTTACAAGTGTGAGTGTATATATACACATACAGTTAGTTGTCTCTAAATACCCATGGGGGCTTGGTTCTAGGACCTCCCATAGATACCAAAGTCTGCAGATGCTCAACTCCCTGACATATGGATAAAATGGCATAGTATTTCAATATAACCTATGCACATCCTATGTGTATTTTAAATCATCTCTAGATTACTTATAATACCTCATACAATATAAATGCTACGTAAACAGTTATTATACTGTATTGTTTAGGGAAGAATGACAAGAGAAAAAAAGCCTGTACATTTTCAATACAGTTGCAATTTTTTTCCCAAAATATTTTCTATGGGAGGTTGGTTAAATCCATGGATGTAGAACCCATGGATACAGAGGGTCTTCTGTATAGCATATGTAAAATTCAACAAGCTGTTCATGTAAGACTTGTATAATTTATTGTATGTAAGTTTTATATATTTTTAAAAAGAAAGAAATTCCTAGAACACTTGTAAAAGAAGGAAGGAGTACATTAAGACTAATTCCTAATTAGGAAAAGTAAAAACTAGAAGTGAAAAGATAATAAAATAGGCCAAGCCTACAGAAGAAAAGGGTGACTTGGAAATCAGCCTGGGATAGAAGTATCCCTAGGGTTTACACAGGCACGAGCCTTTAGTTCCAGAAACAGAAGGTAGAAAACAAGCACAGGAGCCAATATTTTCTCTCTCTTTTTTTGGATTCTAAAATTATTTTTTTGCCTTTTTTTTTTTTAGATAATTTTAGACTTACAGATGAATTGCAAAAATAGTACAGAGCTCCCATATGCCCTATATCCAGCTTCCCCTTATGTTAACATTTTATATAACCATAGGCATTTATCAAAACTAAGAAATTAACATTGGTACAAGTACAGACCTTGTTCAAATTTTACCAGTTTTTCACCAATGTCCTTTTTCTGATCCAGGATCCCACACTATTTAGTTGTCATGCCTCCTTAGTTTCCTCCAACCTCTGACAGTTACTCATCTCTTCCCTGTCAAGACCTTGACACTTTTGAATCCTGGTCAGTTATCTTGAAGACTGTCCCTCAATTTTGGTTTGTTTGATGTTTTCTCATGATTAGACTGAAGTTATACATTACTATAATAGAAAGGATACAAAGAAGGTGATGTGTCCTCTTAATGCATCATTTATCGGGGGTATGTGATGTCAATATACTATATATTGCTGGTGATGGTAACTTAGATCACTTGGCTACTATAGTGTTTGCCAGAATTCTCCACTGTAAGCTTACTGTTAAATATTCTGAGGAAAATATTTTGTCACTAACATTTTGATGGGTAGAATTCACCAGTAGAAAAAATATTTCATTGGCAAAGGAACACTTATTATATAGGAATTATGTAAACTGTATTTGGTTAAAGGGTTTATAAAAGCATAAGCAAAAGCCAGTGAATGCTTTGATATTCTACGTTATATTAACAACAACAACAAAAAATTTTTTAAAAAAAAAAGAGAGTTCGGGAGAACAGATTTTTGATCAGTAAGATATATGAAGATTCAGGTAAGATAAGGAGAAGACTGTGAAGATTCCAAATTCCTGTCATCACAAAAATAAAATAATCCAAATGGAACAAAGGTCTTTACTAACAACCAACTGAGCAAGCATCACTGTGGGATGCTTTGGTATAGAGATGCCCTTTTTATGCTGACCACATACAAATGAAGTAAATAGCATCAGACAAATGGAATAGGGAGTGGTCAGTTTTAGGTGAGGAACTGAGATATAGAAAAAGATTTAAATGGTTTAAAAATAAATAAATAAAAAACACCGACCTTGTAGTTTCAAGGGCATTTGCAAACTGCTCACAGATGACCCAGCCTAAATAAACCAGGTATTCATAAATCCATGTTGCCTCATTTCTCAATACTCAGCAATAACTATAAAGGGCACAGGACTGGGAGATGGAATGCACATTTGCATAGTGCCTTTTAGGGGCTGGCCTGGACCACCAGTAGTAGCAGCAGCTCTCCCTCTTGCCACTGCCAAAAAGGGTCAAACCTGTCTACTGAGGGGTAAGGACAGAGGACCAATACATTATAATCTCCAAGCCATTTATTTTAGTGCCTCATGCTGTTCACCACCTTCTTAGTTTGTTCTCCGCCTTAATCCAAAGCCCCAACTTAGTTCCTACTTTCAGCACTTATTCCTGGACCCGTCATTACCTGTTGCTTAAAATCAAATGAGTCCTCTGGGAGGCCAAGGTGGGCAGATTGCTCAAGATCAGGAGTTCAAAACCAGCCTGAGCAAGAGCGAGACCCCGTTTCTACTATAAATAGAAAGAAATTAATTGGCCAACTAATATATATAGAAAAAATTAGCTGGGCATGGTGGCTGTAGTCCCTGCTACTCAGGAGGCTGAGGCAGAAGGATTGCTCGAGCCCAGGAGTTTAAAGTTGCTGTGAGCTGGGCTGACACCATGGCACTCACTCTAGCCTGGGCAACAAAGAGAGACTCTGTCTCAAAAAAAAAAAAAAAAAAAAAAAATCAAATGAGTCCCTGCTTCTATTGCTGACAGGTTAAGGGACAGGAAAACTAACAGAGGTATGTTGTTCTGCCCTGAATTAAAACACTGATCACATTTTCTTATTAAATATATATATAAAAATAATTTTTTACACATATATAAAACTGGTGTTAGGATCATTACTATATGATTCAAAAGTTAAACAGAATTTTATGGGCAAGTCTAAGAACATTGTCCCTACAGGGAAACATTCAGAACAATAAATGCTCTTTGAAAGGACATATCCAAAGGTTTTCATCATCTGTAATAAAATCATTGTCAAACACAACTTACATTCTTTAGAAAAAAGTCTCTTTCTTTTACCCTGTCCACCTTCTGCACCTCCTCCAATTTCTTCATTTTCTTCCTCAAACTAGAAGTTAAAATGTATATACAGAAATGTCAACTGATTGCATTGCATGTGATATTTTAATAATTAAGTCTTTTCATTTTCAACATTGATATCAAGCCAGAAAGCCTAAAGCTAACAGCAATAGAACATGAATCCTTAGCACTGAAGGTGCCTTAAAGACTATCTAGTCCAACTTCCAACTCATGTAGCAATGGCTTCTACAAGATCCCTAAGAAATAATTCTACAGCCTCTATGTTTAAGAGTTCTAATGAACCACCAGTTTTTTTGTTTTTTTTTTTTAAACCAAGCTGGCCTACTGCTAGACATACTGCTAAAGAGTTGGTATTGAATCAAGGTCTACCTCCCTGTAGTAAGCAAAACTAATATTTACTAAGCACCTGCTTATACAGTGCTAAAAAGTTTCCTTCACCCTATTTTATAACAAGAAGACCGACGCTCAAAGTTAATAAATTGCTCATAGAGAATGGGGACTTTGAAATCCAGGCTCCATGACTTTTGATCCATTATTTTTCCACTACTTCACAGTAAGCATACAGTTTTGTTACCAGTTGAACTGTTGGTTCATACTAAGCACTGATAAATACTAGGTTTGACCTCTAATGATTCTTTAGGTGTTTCAAAGGGTGTCTGGCAAATATAGACCAAAGCTGAAGGGAAAGGGGTCACCCTCCTACTCTTCCTTCATGTCTTGCCCCACGTACTAAAATGACAATCCAAAGGCAAAAACGAGGCCGGGAGCGGTGGCTCACGCCTGTAATCCTAACACTCTGGGAGGCCAAGGCGGGAGGATTGCTCCAGGAGTTCGAAACCAGCCTGAGCGAGACCCCGTCTCTACTAAAAATTGACCAACTAAAATATACACACAAAAAATTAGCCGGGCATGGTGGCGCATGCCTGTAGTCCCAGCTACTCGGGAGGCTGAGGCAGGAGGATCGCTTGAGCCCAGGAGATTGAGGTTGCTGTGAGCTAGGCTGACGCCACGGCACTCTAGCCTGGGCAACAAAGTGAGACTCTGTCTCCAAAAAAAAAAAAAAAAAACCACAAAGGCAAAAGCGTCCCGAACTCCCCGGGCTGATTTCATTAAGGAAGACAGACCCTCTTCTGAGCTCGGCCACTGCTACTGAGCCCGAAGGAGTGAAGAAATGAGAGAGCTGGGACAGAGATGGTTACTCACGGCGGGGTCTTCTTCCTCATCCGCCATCCCACCAGTCCGCAAGCCTAAGGTGCCCCAGCGGCTCGCGTTCTGCGGATTTTACTACTTCCGCTGCCTCACTTCCGGTGACGCGCTAGTCGGGCCACCTACTGCTGGAGAGTAACCGGAGGTATGCTTAGCGGCGTAACCAAGGCAGTCCCCAGGGAAGGAGGGTTCAGATTGTCTCTGTAATCCCGAAGAAGGAATCTAAAATTAACAAAGAAAAGGAAGTCATAGGGTAATGGTGTGTATCTTGTCACCCCATCTTTGCTTCTGCATGTTTTGAATCATGGCTTCCAGATTCCGTACTGTGAAGCTATGGGTCAGGCTAGCAGTTGTCGGTCTGACTGAAAGCGTTATTTAGTTTCAAATAAACACTGTTTTTTTCCAAGCACTGTGTTAATTATTGGGGGATACTGTGCTTCACTACTAGTTTCCAAGAGGACAGTGTCCCTAGAATGAGAAGATTTAAAATTCTGTGGGTAAGCTTTTGGTCAGAACAATGATTGGGAAAACCATGAGCCTTAGAAGACTAGAGCTAGGGATACAAGTATGTCCTGCAATGTAACAGATGATGCCACACAACGAAAATCCCATAATACATGGGATTTCTGAATGTCTTGCTAAAAATTCAGTGAGTGAAAAGGATAATTATCTGTGAGACAGGTACCTATCTTTGTTAACATACAAACACAAAGCATTTTCCCCATGCTTTTAATGTACGTTGAATTTTCTAGGAACATATATCATACTTTATTTTGTTTGGAACTCATTAAGAGCTTTGGACTGTTTCAGGAAATAATGTCACCATCTCACCGCAGTCAGTCTGCATTCCTAGCTTCTGCATTCAAGGTGAGTCTACACAGAACAAGTAGAAGCATCAGAAATCTTCATTATACCCTCTAGTGTAATCATGCTTAAGCATGTACATATTAAAACATAGGTTATTATCTTTATCTATATTACAGTTAGGGCATTATATGTTATTTTAAAATTATGTGAATAGGTAAGTATACTATTTATTGCTGTATAACAAATTACCCCAAAACTTAATGGCTTCAAACAAACATCACACAGTTTCTGTCTGTGTGTCAGCAATTAGGGTGCAGTTTAGCTGGGTACCTCTGGCTCAAGGTCCCTCATGTTGCAGTCAGGATGTTGGCTGGAGCTGCCATAATATCTTAAGTGTTGATGGTGGAGGATCCATTTCCAAAATCCCTCACTGGGTGGTAGCATGATTCAATTCCTTCAGGATATTGGACTAAGAACCTTAGTTCTTTCTTTACTATGGCCCAGAAGCCTCCCTCAGTTCCTTGCCACATAGTCCTTTTCTTCTCCATAGGACAGCCCAGAACATGGCAGTTGCCTTCTTCCAGAGCAGACAAATGAGAGAACCCAAAAGACAGAAGTCACAGTTTTTTTGTAACCTAATTTTGGAAATGACATCCTGTCATTTCTGCCCTGTTCTTTTCAGTAAGTGCAGCCCACACTCAAGGGGGGATTACATAAGGATGAGAGTATTAGGATGGGGAGTTCATCAGGAGCTGTCTGAAAGACTACCTACCAGAGTAAATTATATTATCTGTGAATTTCACTTCAGAATAGTGAAGAAAACATATTTGTTATTTAATGGGGGTTGTTGTGTCTGATAGGGTTGAGAACTGCTCTTAGGCAATGATCAAACGCTGGCCTTGTCCAGGGGCTTAGGTATAAAACATGCAGAGTGTCCATTATCAGAGTAGATAGGTAAAATGTGCTGGATGCACACCAAGGAGTACTATACAGCAATCAGAAGTGATGGACTGGTAACATGGACAGAACTTAAAAACAGTGTTAAGTAAAAAAAGTAAGAAACAATGGGATCTACAACAATACCATTTACATAATTAAAAATATACATAAAACAATATATTTTACAGGAACATATTTTAAGAGCATAGACATTAAATATATTGGAAAAGTTGTAGTGTAGGAGAAATGGAAATAGGGATAAAGGGAATAAATAAATAAAAAGTGAGGATCTTTAGAAAGGTCAGTTGCAATAGTATGCCATGAACTGTGGAGTAGAAATAATTCAATTCTCTGAACCTGAGATCCAAAATATAAAGTGGAAAAAAAAATTGTGATGAGCAGAGCAGAAATAAAGTACAGAGAGTGAAAAGGCATGGTGTGCTTCTACAAGATGTTCCAGGTGGGTTGCCAGAACCAAGTTTGTTGGGTGGGGATACAGGAAATGAGGCTGGAATTGGAGTTTGAAAGGCCTTAAATGTTCTCTTCAAAGCCTGAACTTCAAACTGCAAAGTGCTTGGGAGGTCTTTAAGCAAAGTAGTCACATGACTATCTTTTAAAAAAAGATCACTTTAGCAGGGAAACTACCTAGGATGAGAGATGATTATAATCTGAATTAAAGAAAGGGAAGCAGCAGAAAAAGGAATTGATTTAAGAGAAACTTTAGGAGATCCAGTTTATAGGACTTTGTGACAATGAATCTGAGATCTATGGAGAGGTTTATATCTAGATGCATTGAATGCTATTAATAAGAAAGAAAAAGGGGAAAGCACTTGGGGGTGGAAAGAATGAGTTTAGTTTGAGTTTGAGACTCTAGATATGTCCTACAGACTGATGGAAGTATAGGCCTGGAAATGCACAAGAAATTAGGATGAGAGAAAATGATACAGCAGACATCAATACAAAGGTGGTATTTTAAAGACTACATGGGAACAAAAGCAAGAGAGAAGGGAGGCAAAGAGCAGATCCCTAGAAACAATACATCAACAAGACAGAAAAGAAAGAAGGAATGGCCTAAGAAGAAAAGATAAAAGAAGGATGAAGTGGAGGAGGAAAGGGAGGAGTAGGAGAATAAGAATATACTTTGGGGCTGGGTGTGGTGGCTCATGCCTGTAATCCTAGCACTCTGGGAGGCCGAGGTAGGAGGATTGCTTGAGCTCTGCTGTCAAGCAAGAGGGAGACTCTGTCTCTACTAAAAATAGAAAAAATTAGCCAGGCATCATGGCACATGCCTGTAGTCTCAGCTACTTGTGAGGCTGAGGCAGGAGGATTGCTTGAGGCCAAGAGTTTGAGACCAGCATGGCAACATGTGTGACCCCATAGCTACAAAAAATTTAAAAATTAGCTGAGTGTGGTGGTGCATGCCTGTTGTTCCAGTTACTTGGGAGGCTGAGACAGGAAGATTGCATGAGGCCAGGAGATTACCATGAGCTATGATCTCACTGCTGCACTCCAGCCTGGGCAACAGAGTGAGACCCTGTCTCTGAAAAAAAATTATTGGGCCTAGAGAGAAATTGAGACAGCAATCACATCCTAACATCCTTCTTCCCCTTTTGAGCTATGTATTCATCTCTTGAAACTGCTTGCTACTGCCACAAGTAGCTATAAATTAACCTAATAATGTCACACTGGACCTATAACTCACACTCTACAGCTTATTGATGCATAGCCAATTGCTAATCAATGTTACTTCTGTAAATAAACCAGTGAGAATTCCTGACAAACAACTGTGTATAAGCCTACTCCCTGTCCTCCTTTTTTAACCTTTAAAAACCTGCTTGTACCATTCTACCTGGCAGCCATGGATTTAAAAAAACTGCTTGTAACAAAGGCTGACTGGAGCTCATATCCAAGATTACCCAGGTCTGCGTCTTCTGTGCAGCTGTCTTCACTTTGGCTCAAGTAGACTCTTTACATTTTGTGTTTCAGCCTCTTCCTTTTATGTTGACAGTGTATAGTTGGATACTGAAGGGTAGAAAAGCAAGGAGAGGAAAGTAGCCTTAAGAAGGCAGTAGGATCAAGGAAAGACTTTGATTAAATGATTACTGAATGAATGAGGCTGTGAATTTATCCCAGACACTTAGCTAACTGATCAGAAAAGCCAGACTTTCATTATAGAAAAAAAGTGGAATGAACTTTTAAAGAAAAGGTTAATGACAAAAGAGATTTGTTCACAAAAAATTGGAGTCAGCAGAGAAGCAGACAGGTGTAATTGGTAGAAGGGAGAAGCAGATCTGAGTTGTGTGGGGATAATTTGAAAGGAATGGCAGGGGTGGGATTATCAGAAATGAGGACGGCAGGGGGTTTAGGTGGTGGGCTTCAGACAGGTGTTAGTGATGGGATAGGAGAAGAGGGGCAGGTGCCGCCAATCAGACTCTAAATCTAGACAGAGGCTTTGCAGTTCCACCTACCTCCACTGCCACCCCTCCATCCCAGGGTGTAGACTCCCTATTAGTGAAGTAATATCACTTTTAAAATGGCTTTCAGAATTTCCACAATAATCTTATGCAGTCTTTTAAAAACATTTTTTTTTTTTAATTTGTCAGGGTGCGGTGGCTCACACCTATAATCCTAGCACTCTGGGAGGCCAACGTGGAGGACTGTCTGAGCTCAGGAGTTTGAGACCAGCCTGAGCAAGACTGAGACCTCATCTCTACTAAAAATAGAAAATTAGTCGAGTGTGGTCACATGTGCCTGTAGTCCCAACTGCTCAGGAGGCTGAAGCAAGAAGCTCGCTTGAACCCAGGACTTTGAGGCTGCAGTGAGTTATGATGATACCACTGCACTCTAACACTCTATCCAGGGCAACAGAATGAGACTCTGTCTCAAGAAAATAAATAAATAAATAAATTGGTTTTCTGCTGAGACACCTTTTCCTTCTTGGAATATTGTGCAGTCTAGCTATTTGCTTGTGTCCCAAATAATGCCCACACTCCTTGGTTAAATATGCAGGTTCTGAGGTCAGATGGATTGAGTTTGAAATCCTAGCTATACCCCTTATCAGCTGTGTTACCTTGAGACAACTTATTTGACTTCTTCATACATTTCCATTTCTTCATCTGTGAGATGGGGATAATCAGAGGTTATTATGAGGCTTAAATGTGTTAGTTAATACCATAGGTGATTTGGGTAGTACCTGGCATGTTGTAAATATAAGTGTCAGCTTTTTTTATTCAAGAACCTACCTTTCACCATTGTCTTCTGCCGTTCTCCTTCGTGAACTCTACATTCCAGTTCCACAGAGTCACATTCAATTATTTATGCAATAAATATTTATCAAGCACCTGCAAAACGTTCAGCACTTGCTAGAGGACTGTGGATAAAATGACAAACGATGCAAATGAACCTTACAGTATAGCAAGGGAACATGAATTCAGTACATATTGTATGCTTTGGAAGCTTATGATGGGAGAAAAAAGACCCAAGAAGGTCAGAGAAGCCTCCCTTGAGTGAGATTTGAGTTGAGACCTGAGAGATGAATGGGAATTAGCCAGTGACGGAGAGAAAGGGTGAACTATGCCCTAAACTCATCTTGCTTGTACTTTTCCTTTCTAGACCTTTGATCACTGTATTCCTTTCCCACTAGAGTACTTTGCCTTTCTGCCTATTAAAATTCCTCATGCCTTTCAGGCCCAGCTAAAATGTCTGCTCCTCAATAAAGCCTTCTCTGAGCTCTCCAGCTAAAAGCAGTTTCTCCTTCTATATTCCCACAGCAGTTAGTTTTCATTTTCCTTTGACACTTCTCACTTTCCACTGTATTTTCTGGTTATTTAGACACACAGCTTATCTTTTTCTACAAAATCTTAAACTTACTAAGAACAGAGTCTGCTTCTCATTCATCTTTGCGCTCCCAAAGGCTAGCACATTCCTTAGATTTAGAAGTTCCGGAACAAATATTTGTAGCATAAATTAATGCCTGTTTGACATCCCTTTTCAAATATGTTGTAATTCAAATGAAGCTATTGTTGCAAGTTGTGCCTTTGAGACTAAATTTACTCTTTCGTTAAACCAGAATGCCATAGTCATGGTCCCCATGACTGATTAGTGTTCACCACAATGACTGAAACAACCCTAACAAACAGGCCACTGTTCTTGACTGACAAGCATTTGGCAACAACTGCCAGTTCTCCAGGGTAGGCTGCAATGACCTGGGGAAGGACTGTATGAATTGAGAGTACACTAGGGCTCTATTTATTTCTTGCAATTGGGCTACAACAGCCAGTGACCCATGCTTTGGCCTGATGAGAGACAAGACTGCAGGGGATGGGTGGCAGTGAGGCTTTTTAGGATAACAGAAACATTAATGCTTGTAACAAAATCATCAAAGATCAATATCAGTGGAAAGCACTGTAATTTGAGGCAGCGTGATAACAAGAGGAAGGGATCTTTGAAGTTAGACCTGGGTTTGAATCTTAACTAGTTATGTAATCTCACCCATGTGCCTTCCTTGAACACCAAGATTTCTCATTTTATTTTTATTTATTTATTATCAGTACTCAGGAGAGCTAAACATATTTATTTTAAAGACAGGGTCTGGCTCTGCTGCCCAGGCTGGAGTGCAGTGACCCAATCATAGCTCACTGTAACCTCAAACACCTGGGCTCAAGCGATACTCCCACCCCCTCAGCTTTCCAAATAGGTAGGACTACAGATGTGCACCACCTAATTAAAACAATTTTTTTTGTGGAGGCTGGGTCTTGCTATGTTGCCCAGGCTAGTCTCCAACTCCTGGCCTGAAGCACTCCTCCTGCCTCAGGATTACAGGCATGAGCAACCTCACCCAGCCAAAGATTTCTGATTTAAAAATATCTTCTTCGAAACAAGGAATTGTTTCACGAAGTTGTGAAAATCAAAGCTAGTGTTTTTACAAAGCACAATGCCTGTACTCAATTAAAATGTGTTTATTCATTTATCTTACCCAACATATTTTGTTCTCTGAGGGCAGGGACTTGTTTTTGCCTCTATTCCTGCAAAATCTAGCAAAGTACCCAGCACATAGTAAACATTAGTAAATACTTTTTTTTAACAAATAAGCAACAACAATAGTTAATATTTATAGAGCATTACTTCATGCCAGATATTTTAAATAGTAATTCTCTTAATCCTCCAACAACCCTAGAAAGGAGCTACCATTAAAACCCAGTTTTACTTAGGAGAAAACTGAATGTATTTTTTTTAGACTATAAATTCTTGGCTAGGTGCAGTGGCTCATATCTGTATTCCCAGCACTTTGGGAGGCTGAGGCAGAAGGATTGCCTGAGCTTAGGAGTTCGAGGTTACAGTGACCTGTGATCTGGTCAATACACTCCACCCTGGGTGATAGAGTGAGACCCAGACTCTAAAAAAATAAAATAAAATAAGATAAAATTCTTGATACAATGAATTTTGAAATAAAAACCTGGTGAGATTCACTCTATTCAATAAAAAAGGTAAAATATAAAACCTGAAAAAAAATATAGTGGAGAAAGAAGAAAGAAAATAAATGTAAAAGTGGGAGAAAGAATAAGAAGAAAGACAGACCCGTGGAAAAAGAAGACAGAAAAAAAATAAATTTTGAACAGAACAAAAAATAACTATTCAATCAGAATAAGATATCGGTCATTATCACTGTCCTTTAAAAATAGTAATTGGCCCATTAATCCCTCTTCCTAGTTCTTAAACTTTGATTTCTTTATCCTTAAACTTTAATCTTAATCTCTGAGAGTGATAGAAGAAGAAAGAATTACCTTTCAGAGCATGACAAAAATTGGAGAGGTTTTCATCTTAGTAAAAAAAAATGGAGAGATAAAGTTATCTCTAAAAAAGTGAATGGCATGAGCAAAAATAACAAAAGACTGTATATAATAGTCTTTTCACAGCCGAAGCTTAATGTCCACCTAGGGGACAGTGGAAACTGCTGCCAGAAGGCCTTGATTAGCAGGCTAAGGAGTCACCCATCATTCAGCAGGAAGCAGTTGCTGTTAAAGGAAACAGCAGATGTTGCAGGAAGAAAAATTTTCTAGTCCTGAATTCAGAAGACCAGAATTATTGTGTATTATACTGGGCAGTTCTTACCTTAACCCTCATTTGCTTTATTTCTAAAATAGGAATAACAAGGTAGTTCTTTTTTTTTTTTTTTTTTTTTTGAGACAGAGTCTCCCTTTGTTGCCCAGGCTACTCACAGCAACCTCAAACTCCTGGGCTCAAGTGATCCTCCTGTCTCAGCCTCCCGAGTAGCTGGGACGACAGGCATGCGCCACCATGCCCAGCTAATTTTTTCTATATATGTTAGTTGGCCAATTCATTTCTATTTATAGTAGAGACGGTGTCTCGCTCTTGCTCAGTCTGGTCTCGAACTCCTGACCTCGAGCAATCCTCCCTCCTCAGCCTCCCAGAAAGCTAGGATTACAGGCGTGAGCCACTGGGCCAGGCCAACAGGGTAGTTTTGAGGACTAAATAATATCATGACAAAGTTTGTTTGCCTTAAAAATGTTAAAATGTTATAAATATGTAGGTCTTCATTGTTGTGAAGATTTAATTGATGCTTAAAGAAGACTGAAATTGTAACCTCACTAAGGTGATAGATGGTAGGATTAAAAAGGGAGCAATTTCAATGACATTTTGAAAAAATAATTTGATTTTTAAAATTTTACACATTTTAAACTTAGTTATTAAGGAAAAGGGATATTAATCATAGAAATGGGAAAACAGAGGGAAATGAGTTTGGCTTTAAACAAACATTTCAGATGGCAGAAGAACATCTGTTAGAAATGTAGAACTGATGGTGACACCACTATGCAGGAGATGTAAAAAAAAAAAAGAAAAGAAATGTAGGACTGGAGCTTGGGTAGGACATCAAATTATGAACTCTGCATAGAAGTGATAGTTGAAGCCTTAGAGCAGAATAGGTCACCAATTGACAAAAAAAAAAGTGAGTATATTAGAAGATTGTATTTAGGTGGAAGAAGAACCTGGATAAAGAGAACAATCAGTTAGTTAGGAGCAGATCAGTGGAGACAGTGCAGTTCCACAGTATTCAAAAAGGAGGAGAATTTTTTGAGATGGAGACGTATCATATGATTCAGTCTAAATTAGTGAACATGAATATGTTTAGGACCTGGTTGGAATGGTTTAGGGCCTTTATCCAGCCTTCGTGCAGGGGTTGGACACTCAGTTGGATCCTGGTGCTGCTGCTGCAGCTTCAGATAGCAGTTGATGAAAGGTTCAAGGACCTAGGCAATAGGGATTTTTGTTCTGTTTTGTTTTTGAGTGGTTCTTTGAGTGGTTCTGAGCAGTTCTTTTGGGCAGGGGATTTGTCTACGTGCACACATATGTAATCTGAGTGGTTGTCTGGCCTTGTCTTAGGTCTAGTTCCATACATCTTCCATTTATTCTTTGCATATGCATTTATGTATATTTTCTCAAAGAATTTCTTCTGTGTTAGGCCTTTTGGCTTGGCACTCCAGCTTGGAGAAGGCTGCTCTGCCAGGTTTTCTTCCGGGTAACCAAGCAGGCCGCAGCCAGCAGATGGCACTGCAACAGAGAGGAGTAGAGTCCTTTTAGGTCTTTGACAACCACAGCAGGCTTCAGCCTCGGAAGACTCAGTGTTGCACTTTCGTGGGACTCTAATAAAGCAGGCTGAATTGTGTGCAATTAAGGATTTCAGTTTAAAGAATGAAGTCTGTAGTTTTGTCTCCTTCACTCTAACCCCATCTGACTATGTCTATTGTCACGTTGTCCAAGTGTCAAAGTGCCCTCAGAGAAGCGCTGACTAGATATCGCCGAAGTCTGGCTAACGTGGCCGAGGTGACCCCAGCATGAATTAAATATAGGAGATAATCGATACTCTTCTGATATTTTAAGGAAAAATCTATACAAACAAGGCAATTATCTAAATGTTTCCCAACGTGGTCCTTTAGGATATGAAATGTGCTACTTGTTTTTATTTTATTTTATTTTTTGAGACAGAGTCTCACTCTGTTGCCAGGGCTAGAGTGCCATGGCGTCAGCCTACCTCACAGAAACCTCAAACTCCTGGGCTCAAGCAATCCTTCTGCCTCAGCCTCCGAGTAGCTGGGGCTATAGGCATGTGCCACCATGCCCAGTAAATTTTTTCTATATATTTTTAGTTGGCCAATTAATTTCTTTCTATTTATAGTAAAGATGGGGTCTCGCTCTTGCTCAGGCTCTTCCTGGTGGAAATCTAGTCATCTTGCTCCTTAAGTTTCCAGAGTCCTCACTATTACTCTATGGAACCCTCGTATGTGGGATGTAAAGTTTCCAAATGAAATAAGGAAGTTATTTTCGAACTAGTGACCTTGAGCGATCCTCCCGCCTCGGCCTCCCAGAGTGCTAGGATTACAGGCGTGAGCCACCACGCCCGGCCTGTGCGACTTGTTTTTGTTTCAAAGTTCCTTATTTCATTTGGAAACTTTACATCCCTCATACGAGGGTTCCATAGAGTAATAGCACTGGAAACTTTAGGAGCAAGATGACTAGATTTCCACCAGGAAGAGCCGCGCAGCAAGGGCAGTCCGGAGGCCACAGGGGCCGCTTTTTGACCCCTGGTGTTGGGGTTCGCTTAATTGGAGACCTGGAATGATGAATACCTCTCGGTTGCCGGGGGCTGCTGCTTTTACACACACACACACACACACACACACACACACACACACACACAGCAGCCGTCACAGCGCAAAATAAAGTACAAAAGTCCAAGCCTTTACCTTTCCAAACACATTGACGGGAACCGATCAGGTTGCGCCCCAGCTTTAACTCCGCAGGAGCACGCAGAGGAGACTTGGTTACCAAGGCCACGTAGGAAGCCTCCAGGATAGCGTTCTTCTTAGCCTACGTAAGCACGCAGGTTTCCTAGCTCGGCAATCGGCTAGCCACTCCCGATAGCGTTCGGCGCTCGCCTCTCGGCCCCTGCGCTTGCGTACTACGGCTCCTGCCCGTCGTCTCGGCCCGGATCGGGAAGTGTCAAGTGGGAGTCGGGTTTCCCCGCCTTCGCCGCTGCCACCGCTGAACCCAGACCCTCTACCTAGTTCCAGGCCCATCCGTCATGACGAACGGTGAGAGCTGGTGCCCCGAGCGGAAGGTGGGAGTGAAGGAAGGGGGTAACGTGGCGGGCGGGGCCAGGACTGACGTGGTCGTTCTCCCCGCCCCCTCCCAGCCCAGCCCCCCTTGGCCTCTCGGCGCCCCTAACTTCTGTTCCCTGTGCTGCTCCACAGAAAGGGCTTCCCCCTTTCTGTATCCATTTAGGATCCCCACCCCATCTCCCTGTGCCTTTCGGCACCTCGAGTCCTCGGTCCCTATCCTTTGCTTTCCCTTTTCTCTTTCCTAGAAGTTCTGTCTGGTCCTTAGGGAGGCCAGCCCCGGTACAACTACTGCTGTTTAGATCCAGGGAAGAGAGAGGATCCTCCTCCCAGCCCACTTATGTTCTCATACTTTCGGACAGTAGGCTTGTTGAAAGGACCAAGAAATCATAGAGAATATCAAATCCTACATGTTTGGGGGTACGTGAATGTAGACCTCCCAAAAAGTTCTGCTTGTTTAGGAAAAATGCCGGGAAACCTTCTCTTGTTGGATTCTTAAGTCCTGGCTGGGTGATCCCATCTGGAGACCCTGGCTAGTGTTGTAAGGGATGGATTTAGACACTGCCTCTTCTAAAGGATGTGGCAGTTGCCACCCTGATTATCTGACCCAGTTTTCCAGGTCTCTTCAAACACTTTATAGACATGATTTCCAAACAGAGCCTTTAGAGTCAGGCCACAGGAAAGGAGAAGAGAAAGCCTTTTAGGCAGTATGATTTGAGGGGCTCAGGAAAGTATTTCTCAAAGATATGTTGCCTATTGGCCAACCACTGAATACTTAAATTTCACCTCCTTGTGAATTTTGGCATTGTCTGCAAAAACTTATGGGAGAAAGAGTAATATGTAAGGGTATGGTTCCTCGAAAGAATTTAGTGTATTAATTTACTGGATCCTTTCTTACGTGACAGTTGTGAGACAGTTTTACTGGAGGAAGAGAGGTAGATAGCGTGGTCTAGACCTAGGAGACACTAGTTATACATAACATTCATTTGGACCTTCTTGGGAAGTCAGAAGTCTCAGGATACTAAACACAGAGAAGGGACATCACCTAAAGGAAGATTTAATCTAAACCAGGAAATAAGTGAGCAATTTTTTTTTTTTTTTGAGACAATCTCGCTCTGTCCCCCTGGCTAGAGTGTAGAGTGCAGTGGCATCATTGTAGCTTCCTGCAACCTCAAACTCCTGGGCTCAAGCGATACTTCTGCCTCATCCTCCAGAATAGCCAGGACTACAGATGCGTGCCACGTTGCCCAGCTAATTTTTTAATTTTTTTTTTAGAGATGGGGGGGGGCCTCACTCTTGCTCAGGCTGGTCTCGAACTCCTGACCTCAAGCAATCCTCCCACCTTGGCCTCCCAGAGTGCTAGGATTACAGGGGTAAACCACCATGCCCAGACAAGAGAGCAATCTGACACATAGTAATTGCTGAATAAATTTTAGTCATTCTCCCCACTTCCCCTGCTTTTGTGGTCCAGTAACTCCTCTTTTTTTGTGGTGATTTGCTGTGTTTACCTGTACAAGAAATAGCTTGGTTTATATATGTAAGAAATGGAACTAAGAGCTTAAAGCTTTCCACTATGTTGAATCCTCAGATTTTTTTTACAAGAATCTGTGTTATTCTGACAAGTTTTCTTTGTAAGTAGAATATCATGCATAAAGTGTAAGATAAGTAAAGGAAAATTGTAGTCATGTGGATTTTAACTCTTGTAGTTTCCATTAAGCTTTTTGTTTTTGTATTTTTGTTTTTTGAGACAGAATCTCACTCTGTTGCCCGGGCTAGAGTGCTGTGGCATCAGCCTAGCTCACAGCAACCTTCAACTCCTGGGCTCAAGCGATCCTCCTGCCTCAGCCTCCCAAGTACCTGGGACTACAGGCATGTGCCACCATGCCCAGCTAATTTTTTCTCTATGTATTTTTAGTTGGCCAATTAATTTCTTTCTATTTATAGTAGAGACAGCATCTCGCTCTTGCTCAGGCTGGTCTCAAACTCCTGACCTTGAGCAGTCTACCCGCCTCGGCCTCCCAGAGTGCTAGGATTACAGGTGTGAGCCACCGTGCCCGCCCTCCATTAAGCTTTATTTTTTGCCTTAATATATTCTTTACCAACAGATGCAGATTTGACAGATTGGGCTAAATATCTATTTCTTCTTTATCATGTATCATAAATGATTTATAACAAGAACATGTTTAATTCTCTGTGCTCAGTCATTAAGGATTCTTATGCCTCTTTAAACCTATTGCCAACACTGGTCATTCCTGGGAAGCTAATTCTATCCACATAAACTGATGCACTCTGCTCAGGATTTCTAGTTTTTTGAAAGGTAAGAGTAGGGTTAGGGAGTAGAGAATTTGTTCATCCCTGTCCCCTTCGGGATGTCTACAAGCAATTTTTGGAGAACAATAAAGTAACCTTAGTCCTAGGACCTTGGCTTCCTGTTGTCAAGTGTTGGCATTCCCACTTGAGGTTATCATTTTGTTATCATACCACACTCTGTCCTTCTGAGAATTCTCACCTATCACAAGCGAAATTCACACCAAAGGTTTTCTTTTCTTCTCTATGTAACAGTGTACTCCTTGGATGGGATTCTGGTATTCGGTTTGCTCTTTGTTTGCACCTGTGCCTACTTCAAGAAAGTACCTCGTCTCAAAACCTGGCTGCTATCAGAGAAGAAGGGCGTTTGGGGTGTGTTTTACAAAGGTAAGGGCATGTCTGGACAGGGGGAGGAGATTGCCATCTCTGGACAGTGTGGTGCTAGAAGGTAGGGAATGGAGTGGTCTGGGATTGTATTTGGTTTCTGTTTTAGAAAAAATTCCTGAGATCAGGTCCGAGAGTCCGCATAATTAAATAATCATTTTCCAAAGTGGAGGGAAGAGGTAAATATTAACATTTGCTATTATTTAAAAGCATAATTGGGCCGGGCGCTGTGGCTCACGCCTGTAATCCTAGCTCTTGGGAGGCCGAGGCGGGCGGATTGCTCAAGGTCAGGAGTTCGAAACCAGCCTGAGCAAGAGCGAGACCCCGTCTCTACTATAAATAGAAAGAAATTAATTGGCCAACTGATATATATATAAAAAAAATTAGCCGGGCATGGTGGCGCATGCCTGTAGTCCCAGCTACCCGGGAGGCTGAGGCAGAAGGATCACTCGAACCCAGGAGTTTGAGGTTGCTGTGAGCTAGGCTGACGCCACGGCACTCACTCTAGCCTGGGCAAGAAAGCGAGACTCTGTCTCAAAAAAAAAAAAAAAAAAGAAAGAATAAAAGCATAATTGCTTATTTTAGCATCCAAGTAATTTTATTTATTTATTTATTTTTGAGACAAAGTATCATTCTGTTGCCCTGGCTAGAGTGCTGTGGCATCAGCCTAGCTCACAGCAACCTCAAACTCCTGGGCTCAAGCAATCCTACTGCGTCAGCCTCCCGGTAGCTGGGACTACAGGCATGCACCACCATTCCTGGCTAATTTTTTCTATTTTTGGTAGAGACGAGGGTCTCACTCTTGCTCAAGCTGGTCTCGAACTCCTAAGCTCAAACAATCTGTCCGCCTTGGCCTCCCAGAGTACTAGGATTACAGGCGTAAGCCACCATGCACGGCTCAGGTAATTTTAGTATTCTCCATGGAATAAAAGTATACAAATTAAACAATTTTAGGCTGGGCTGGAATTCCTCCCTTCAGTGGAAGAAATATTTTCCCACTAAAAATTTTTATGATAGTCTATAAAGGGTAAGGTTTGATTTAATTGACTCAGATGCTTTTTTACTTTTTATTTTGGGCACATTCATCTGGAATCCTACCCACCTAAATCTTTTTTCAAAAAAGGGCAAAATATGGCCAGGCAAAGTGACTTACGCCTATAATCCCAGAACTTTGGGAGGCTGAGGCAGGAGGATTGCTTGAGGCCAGGAGTTCAAGACCTCATCTCTACAAAAAATTAAAAAATAATAATAATAACTAGCTGGGCATAGTGGCACATGCCCGTAGTCCCAGCTACTCAGGAAGCTGAAGAAGGAGGATCACTTGAGCCCAGGAGTTCAAGTCTGGGGTGAGCTATGATCCTGCTACTGCATTCCAGCCTTGATGATAGTGTGAGACTCTGTGTCAAAAAAAAATCCCAAACAAAAATGTTCCCAGGGTCCTTGAGACCCTCCATAAGTCTCTGCATTTGTGACTAGAGATTTCAAAATATCATCTTGAAAATGAGGACTTTTGTGAAGAGCAGGATGTGATTTATTTTCTCTTTTTACTTTTGCCCGCTAGCTGCTGTGATTGGAACCAGGCTGCATGCTGCTGTGGCAATTGCTTGTGTTGTAATGGCCTTTTATGTCCTGTTTATAAAATGAATCCCAAAGTATCCAACTCATCAGTTGCCAACCAAGGGGGCGTGGATGAAGAACCTTTTGGAGGCCTGGACCCACTGTAGAAGAGTTCAGCTAAAATCATCGAAGTCCCCAGGATGACACCACAGTATCTGCCCCTGCCACACGTGAGGAAAACTCCTTATGGTCATGAACATTATATATGCTTCAGGGGACTCTACAAAGTCAGCTTCCTTTGATCTGTGTGTAAATCAGTCCTTGACAGAGTGCATATAATGTCCAGATAAATTATACTCCTTGGTGATAAGATTACATACCTTCTGCTTAAAAACCTGTCACCTGTTTTGTTCTTCAGCCCCTCATCAGGATCTTTTCAAACTGAGGCTCGTTAGGGAAGGAAATAGGCTGTGTTCAGACCTCTTGAGAGGAGAGATAATTTTCAAGACTTGACATTTTTAATGTTTGATTTGGATCTGGCAAATTGGGGAGGGAGTGCTGGGTGGGAAACGGGAGTTAAGAAATGCCAAGAAATTGTTTGGCTTTGGGAACTTATCTTTCATATGCCCATCTGGGAACATAAGCGACAGACATGGCCCTGTTGCAACAAGAGAACAGAGGAAGTAGCTGTGCTATGTATGTGCTGGTTGTTCAAGAGTTATGCCACGAGAATCTGGACCTACATAAAATTTGTGAATTATCTGTGATGAGACCAGAAAGCAGTGGCTTAGACAAAAAATTTCTGTTTGTTAGTATCCCCAAAAGGAGATGTCACTTGATCAAATGGTATATGAAAATTAATCAACTCTTACTATTTCCTAAAGTCTTTTTATATTTTCTAAATTACTTCGTGCTAAATACTGTTACTCAATTTGTAATGCCACCACTAAGGGAAAAAGAAACTATCGAAGAAATAATTGCTTAATGTATTAATATTTACAGTTAGAGTAGAAGAAACAAATCTAGTATGTTGATTCATATACTAGTGAATTCATCTAGTATAAGAATTATAATGTTAAATGGAAGTTTTGTCATGTTCTAAAAGATACAAACTTATTTTTTTGTTTAAGTCTGGGTTGTCATGGCAATTTTTAGTTGATTATTTGTTTTTTTTGACCAACTCTTGATTTTCTTCATATTGCAGTGCTCTTTAGTTGTCTCTGGAAATTCTATTTACTGTAAGAACATGAGAAATTCAAATGAGAGAAGTTGTTGATATTCATTAGCATGTTTGGACAGGACAAAGGATCCATGAATAAAATGATAGTGTTTCCTGAAGTAAAGGAAAACAAGAGGTTTGCAGTTAAGATTGAAGGGCTTTGCCATGGAGTAGAGTGACTCCTGAGCAAATCATTTTATATGACTTAACATTTGAAGGGAAGACTTCTCCATTCCATCCTCCTTATATCTGCAAAGGGATCAGCTGTTGAATTTATGAAGTCTAGAACTTCTCTATTTAAAAGAAAAGTAGCTCTAAAATTAAATCATTATAAACAAGCATAGATATAGGTCTTCCAGTTGAATTGTCCATTACAGTAAAACCTAACTGTGGGCAAGTTAACTGTTGAGTTGAGTTGAGTTGACTCTTGTGTGGCAGTAAATTGTCTTTTGTCTGCTTCCTCCAAAAGAATAAAAGCTGCTAAGAAGTTTAGATTCTGAAATTGCAGTCTAGTGCTTTGAGGGTTTCTAGAAGTATAGAAAGTCATCAGTGAACACTACATGTCTAATCATCTCAGAGTTGTGGCTGTTATCTCTTCAGGAATTGGTCCACAGGGTAAATTTCAGTGATTCATGTATTTTCCATTGTCATTTCTGAGGACCTTTCACATGAGAGAAAGGAAATCCAGTGGAACAAGAAAGAAGAGTTACACCTTGTGGGTGTGAGTATGGGACCTGTTGGTCAAAGGGAATGTCCCTCCCTGGAAATAGGTTCAGCATGTTTTGCACTTGTTATTTTGTAGCTTTAATTACTTTTGTTTTCTAATAGGGTTAATGTCTCTAAGCTTGATGCTTAGAGTTGCTTCATACTTTAAACCAGTTCCATTCCACAATTCTAGTTCAAATCAATTTTTACAGCCTCCTGGGTGGGGCATCTTGACCTAAAATCTTGAGTTATTGTATTTTGAGATGTCTTCATACCAGAATGTACCAAAAAGTGCACGAGGCAAAGGTAATTGATAGCAGGAAACAAATACACAGCTTATTTCATTTTTTGACTTTATGTAAACAGATAAGAAAAAACTTATTTAACTCATTACTTTGATGTTTCATAGATTTTTGAGTAAAAATTATAGGAAGTTATTCCACTGGGGGAGTTTTTTAGGGGTGGAGGAATGGGGATAGCAGTATTGCCTCAGATTCAAACTGGCATCACCATAAACACTGTATGCCAGGGTGGAATGAAGTCAGCTCCTTTTTATAGTTGAAATACAATTTTTTATTCACCATTGTATGCACAAATCCTTGAAAATAAACTTTCCTTCCCTACAATCTTTGTTCATTTTATTTGTCATGTACTGAATTTACTGAAAATTTTTCAATACTCCCCAGGGATCTGCCCATAGCATGCCTTTTTATTAATAGTTCACATTAGTGAATACCATCATTCCTATTTTCATATATATGAATGAATAGGTTTTGAGGTGTATTAAATAAGGTAGTGCTCCCAATACATTTTACCCATCACTGCTGTTAAAATACAAGTATCTTCTGCTGTGATCATGCAACTACACTCCAGCCTGGGTGACAAAGCAAAACTCTGCCTCACAAAAACAAAACAAACAAAAAAAGAAAAGAAAAGAAAAGGGAAAGAAAGGAACTGAGACATTAAAATTGTGATCTCTAATGTGAGAGGAGCTAATTCTACTTATATAATCCCTGTTATTTTTCATTCATTTTGGAGTTTGAAAATAAGATGTTTTAATGGATGTGAACATAAATGAAAGTTTCAGCATTATGATTGCCACAGCATCAAATTCTGGGCAGCCAGAGAGGACTGGGATATGCCTTTCCTACCTTTACCCATTTCACAGATATCCTGCGTATCTAGTCTTTGAGTTTAAATACTCTGTTTCTCACCTTACCTTTCGGTAAAATCATGTTTGCCTTCGCCCTTAGGAGGAGCTCCTGGAGGAGCCGATGCTCTGCTTGGTAATGACCAGGGATTGCTGTCTCCATGGGAAAGAAGTCATTCACCTATAAATCTGCCGAAGTTGAACCATCTCATATGCAGAAATGGAATATTTAAAAATTTAATACCAACAAAAATAAAGTCAAGATCAAAGAAAAACTATCGATGTAGATTAAATATGAATACACAAAGATGAAAAGGCAAGCAACCACGGTGCTGTGTTGTAGAAATTAGTCCCGCCTCGGCCTGGGACCTGGGTTCCCCTCCGAGCCACGCGAGGGCAGCAACGCGCGCTCTGACGAAGCGGCCGCCTGTGCGCGGTGGCTCCTCCCAGAATCCTCCAGGGCGCGGAAGGGGCCGGAGGGTTTAAAAGAGGTTGCGCGCTTCCGCTGCTTACGGGAGGGAGAGCGGCCTGGGGCGGGTTGGTGTGTGCGGTGCTGGGGTGTCGCGTGGAAGGCGCGTGTGGGCCGAGTGTGAGTGGGCGCGCGGATGTGTGCGTGCGCGCGCGTGGGGCGTGCTAGGTGAGTGTGTGCGCCCGCCCCTGCGCCCCTCCCCCCGCCTACACCTTGATCTTATTTGATCGGGTAGTGGCCCCAGCCCCGCCGGGCAGACCCGAGATGAAAAGCTCTCCTCCTGCGAAGCCCCGTCTTCGGGGCGCTGTGCAGCGAGGCCCCCTGGGCGGCGGCAACGCCGCGGTCTCCGAGGTCCCGGAGCGGGTCCTGCGGGGCCCGGCGCTCAGAAGTGATGAATTGATCAGATAGACGAGGCCGGGCTTGTCCCGGGCCACTGATTATCGAGGCGATTCTGATCTGAGCCCGCCCCAGGACACGGCCTCCGGTGGCGCGGGGCGAGCATGTTAACGGTCGGTAGCGGGCGGGGGGCGAATGAGCCCTCGCCCTGCCCCCGGAGCTGGAGCCGGAAGGTGACAGGCCTTCTTCACCCCTGCGGTTTTTCTTCCCTAGCTCCCTCTCTGTTTTTCTTCAGGCACGGCTTGTCTTATGATTCGTTGTATGTCAACCCTGGAGCTCCCAGGCCTAAAGGCACTATACAGCCTCTATGGCTAAGGGATATATTAACATACACGTATTTGTGTGTGTCTATACACGTAAATATGTCTATTAAAGTAATATGAAGAGCTTATAAGAATGCAGATTCTGGCGACCCCCCCTCCACCCCCGAGAGTTACTGAATTAGAATCTGGGAGGTCTAGGAATCTATATTTTAAAAGCTAAAAAATTTTTTGATGTTCAGAATCCTTTTTTTATTTCAGCATATTATGGGGGTACAAATTTTAAGATTTCAAATAATGCCCTTTCCCCTCCTCCCCCCCCCCATGTTCAGAATCTTAACCTGCATGAGTTGATTTTCCGGGGAGTCACCCCTCTTTGTCACCTGCAGCCATTTTAAATAATGAGAAATGAAACTTCATATTGCCATTTGGTAGTGGATGCTATTGGAATAGATTGCATGGAAAGTCCCAGTGGAAAGGGACTGTGACAATTTGGTTTAAGGACCCTGCCTGCACCTTTGTACCTGGAAGAACTCCTTTCATATCTGAATTATTCAACAATGTATATGTTAGACTTAATTAGAACTGAGAATTTATTGTACAGTATTCCTAAAGGTCAGCCATTTTTATGATAGAGCAGGTCCCTGTGAGTGACTTGCAATTTTAAAAACCACATTAAAGTCACAGTTTTTAGGTACCTTTCAAAGCCAAACACCAGATTTTGAACCATGTTTATAAGAATCACGGCTATGTATCACTGTACAAATGGACACAAAGAAAAGGAAGTTCACACCCAGGCAAGGAAACAGTAGCAGAGTTAGAAATTGAACAGTGGGCCAGCATGGTGACTCAGGCTTGTAATCCTAGCACTCTGGGAGGCCAAGGTGGGAGAATTGCTTGAGGTTAGCAGTTCCAGACCAACCTGAGCAAGATCCAGACTGCATCTCTACTAAAAATAGAAAAAATTAGCCGGGCATGGTGGTGCAGGCCTGTAGATTCAGCTACTTGGGAGGTTGAGGCATGAGGATTGCCTGAGCCTAGGAGTTTGAGGTTGCTGTGAGCTATACTGATGCCATGGCCCTCTGGCCTGGGTCACAGAGCAAGACTCTGTCTCAAAAAAAAAAAAAAAAAAAAAAAAAAAAAAAAAAAAAAATTCCCAGTAATGCAATTGTGAAAAAGAAAGAAAGAAATTGGACAATCCCAAGGAGTCAGGACCAGGGAGATGGAGCCCAAGAGATGACAAAAACCAGGAAGTATGAAACTTAAGTGTGACCTTAGCAAAAATATTAATGCTACTTAGAGCTGCTGAAATTATGTTTGTAAGCTCATTGAGAGAATGGGCTATTTCCATTCTTGTTTCCTCAACGCTTAACGCCTCGTAAGAAATGTTGAATGGATGGCTCTGTATGGTTGAAGTGACTTCAGTTTACAAAATGTGAATACCTGTGTCCTGCCAGAAACTGCTACTCTGTCCTAAATCTTTATCTTTTAAGGTAAAATGACTTCCAAGTTGCAAATCTACCCAACAGGACTAGGTTCTAGAAGTTGGGAGATTTCCTTCCTGTATTTTAAGAGTAGTAAAGTGGCAACTCTTAGACCATGGGTAACAGACACTTCACGCTTCATCTTGCACAAATCTATTTAATGGAGGTGGACGGCAGGATGTTGCACTATAATTAGTCTAGGGGCCTGTCTACCTTAGGTGGAGAAGAAGCCACCATCATTCTTTCGGGAGTAACCTCCATTGGTGGCTGCAGTGTGAGGTGACACTGTGGAGAAAGAAGAGGGAGTGGGCTGTGAATTTCAGATCATTTGCCTTTTCTGGGAGCCTTTAAAGACCCATACATTTGTGGGTACTATGGAGAAGGTTCTCATAACAGCTGAGGAAACTGGCACATAGAGGACTGAGGAGAGGTAGTTATAGCTCTTTCACTCCCAGGTTTCTGCCCTGTGCCTGCCCTTGCTATAAATGTTTGTCCAAGACCCAACCGAGATAAGAGGCCCTAAAAAATTGAATTATTTTCCTAGCTCTATAGTCAGCATGATCCCTGGTATCAGTATGATATGTATATGATTAGCATGAAGTGCCAACTTAATTACTGCTTTCCAAGACCCTCATTAATCCCTGATTTTCTCTACTAGCCGGTCACCTCTAATCCCTGATTCTTGGGTCCATTTAGGGAGACTGTGTCATCCCATCTCCCACCCAGTCTTCTAACCCTTACCTATGGATCCCTGGATGCTGTGGATGGACTCCCTCTTAGGGTTGATCCACTGTCTGATGTTATCCCGGGAAGTGATGGGAGGGGAAGGGGGTAAAACTTCTCCAGGGAATGGGATCTTGGTGAATCTAGAAGATGGTGCGAGTAAAAAGAGAAAAGAGTGAAATCAGAAAGGTGAGGAGGGAAAGGTAGTGGCATATGACCTCAAAAATAAAACAGCCAGGCTGGGCTTGGTAGCAAATGCCTGTAATTCTCACACTCTGGGAGGCCAAGGTGGGAGGATCACTTGAGCTCAATTTGAGACCAGCCTGAGCAAGAGCAAGACCCATCTCTATAAAAAATAGAAAAATTAGCCAGGTGTGGTTGTGAGCATCTGTAGTCCCAGCTACTTGGAAGCTGGAAGGCTGAGGCAGGATGATTGACAGAGCCCAGGAGTTTGAGTTACAGTGAGATATTATGATGCCACTGCACTCTACACTCTAGCGGGGGCAAAAGGGTGAGACTCTTGTCTCCAAAAGTAAAAGCAGCCAAAAGCCCTTTTTACCCTCTGTGGAGTTAACCAAAGATTTTGTTTGTTTATGTAGATGAGCACAATCTTGGGGGATTTTTGTTCATTTTAGATAATAAAAATACAGAAATTACAGGTACATATGTAAAAATACAGAAATTTGTATACAAGTGAGTACCTGCTGATTGTTATTTCCCAGGTGACATTTTACCTTATATGATTGGATGGCAGCATCCTTAGGGTGGAGAGGCTCTGCCTCTACCACTTACCCACGGGAATCTTGGATGGTCTCCTGCTGTAACAGTATCTCACTTTTGTTCTTGAACACCGAGGTGTTGTGGTTGTACAAGGCTGCTAAGCGGAAATCCAGGTCATCCTTGGATATCTATAGAAGTCAATTACCCCAGGGTTAGCTTGGCCACTTGTGCCCTTGCTCTAGGGAGTTCTGTTGGACTCTACTCTCTCAAAAGTATAGTGAAGGCCCTATTGGGCCTGAAATCTACCAAGTCCTTACACACTAAATTGTACATGATGACTTAACTCTTGTCAATATGGAATTGTCTTCCCCATGGTTAGATCTAAGGAGTGGTAAGCTCTTACTGGAGACATGAGGATCATGTCCCTGACTTGGGCTTAGTGAACTTTATATCATTCCTGTTTATGTTCAGCTCTTGTTTTCATCAAAAGAATGAGAAGGCCGGCAAAATGGTTTGTTCCAGATAACTGCCTGGAGCAAAATTCACTTCCCAGAGGCAAAATAAATTGGTTTTTGGCTTTGGATTTGGTAGGATCTTGTGTTGGGGACAAGAGGAAAAATACTGAAGCAGTCAGGGGCAGACTAACTTTCAAAAAGGATATGAATGATCCCTAAGTGGAGGTAAAGAGAAATAGTATTTCAATGCTAGGTACCTCAGGATCAAAAAAATAGGTATCCCGTCTCATGGAAGTAATTGTGGGAGTTAAGCTGAGCCGCCTCCAGGGTTCCTCTTGCTGAGCAAGGTGAGTTGGGTTCTTGTATAGCAATTTCTGCAAAAGAGAAACCATATCCAGGATGACAGGAGGCCTTGCTGATGTAGCTTCACTGACATCTCCTCATTCCATCCTGTTCTGGGTTTTTCTGTTTTTTGTTTTGAGACAGTCTTGCTCTGTCACCCAGGCTATAGTGCTGTGGCATCAGCCTATCTCATAGCAATCTCAAACTCCTGGGCTCAAGTGATCCTCCTGTCTCAGCCTCCCGAGTAGCTGGAACTACCACACCCAGCTAATTATTTTCTGTTCATAGTAGAGATGGGGTCTCGCTCTTGTTCAGGCTGGTCTCAAACTCCTGAGCTCAAGCAATCCTCTACCTTGGCCTCCCAGAGTGCTAGGATTACAGGTGTGAGCCACCGCACCCAGCCTCTGTCCTGTTTTATTTGAGTCTCAGATGGACATCTGCAAAGACAAGAATGATATGGGGCAAGACTTTCCAGGCTTTTGATCTAAGTGTTTTTAGTGTGAACCAACAGAAATGGGCCAGGAATACATGAGAAGGGGTGGAGTGGGACTAGGGTGGGGCGAAGGTTGGGAGCAGATAGGAAAGATGATGAGCTCAAGTTTCTACGTCCTGAGTTAGAAGAAAAGGTGAAACAATCTGATGCAATTAACTAGTAGAAAATTGGAAGTATGTAACTTGTTGGAGGAGAACTCAGAACAATTAATATAGATCTGGGGGGTCATCTACATGAAGTAGTAGTTGAAGCTGCATAAAGGAGTCAGACCAAAAGGGAAAAGCTGATTCATAAGGATTGCACAGTATAACTGAGAGTGGGGAAGACCCCAAGAGGGACAATCAGAGAGAAAATCAGCAGAATGTAACGTCTAAGCAGGTGAGAAAAAGATTTCAGTAAGCAGGGAACAGTCATTGACCGCAGGAATATCAGAAAAAGTCCACTGGACATTCAGTCCTCTAAATAAAACCCAACAAGCATGAATGTTAAAAGCATATAACTGTTTTCTTCATTACATGTAAAATACCATATTGTTCACCAGTGTGTCCTCAGTACCTAGCACAGTGACCTGACACATGATATTCAAAAATTATATATGGAGTCCATTACTGAATTCCAATGAATACAACTACAACCTAATAGAAATCATATTCAACCTATCTGATGTTGTAACCCTCCTTCCCCACAATATGGCAAAGCGCGGTGTCAGTCGGCGCAATTAAACCTTAATTGAGGCCAGGTGCAGTAGCTCACGCCTGTAATCCTAGCACTTTGGGAGGATGAGGCAGCAGGATTGCTTGAGGCCAGGATTTCAAGACCAGTTTGAGGCTGGGAGTGGTGGCTCACACCTGTCATCCTAGCACTCTAGGAGGTTGAGGCAAGTGGATCATTTGAGCTCAGGAGTTCAAGACCAGCCTGAGCAAAATTGAGAACCCCCCCCCATCTCTACTAAAAAAAAGAAAGAAATTAGCTGGACAACTAAAAACATATAGAAAAAAAAATAGCCAGGCATGGTGGTACATGCCTGTCATCCCAGCTACTTGGGAGGCTGTGGCAGTAAGATTGCTTGAGCCAGGAGTTTGAGGTTGCTGTCAGCTAGGCTGATGCCAGGGCACTCTAGCCCAGGCAACAGAGCGAGACTCTGTCTCAAAAAAAAGACCAGTTTGAGCATCATAATGAGACCCCATCCCTACAAAAAAATAGAAAAAAATTAGCCTGTTGTGGTGGCACACGTGTGTAGACCCAGCTACTCAGGAGGCTGAGGCAGAAGGATCTGAGGTTGCTGTGAGCTGTAATGACCTCACTACACTCTAGTCCTCTGTTTCAGAAAAAGAAAAAAATTGAACAGTATGTGTCAGACACTGTGCTATCAACAGAGATGAAATGTGAAAGAAAGAAATCTAAAATTACAAAAACTACATATGATGCAAGAACAGGTTTAGTTGTCTTTGATGTGGCTATTTAAGGCTCCTCATCTCTGTCAGAAGGATGAGATTATCTTTCACTGAGAAAGTCAAGATTGTCAAGCACTAATGTCATCTTCACATCCACTTTCCTTCTATGTTAGGGAAGTCCCTTGTATTCAAGAGTAACCATTCCTCCCTGGCCTCAGCCATTCCCTGTGCTTCTGAGACCTGCACCATTCTGCATCCTCTCTTTTCTGAGTTACCACCCTATCACCTTCCTTCCCTATAGAATCAGACTTACTCAAGAGCCAACATTTCCTATGGCCACTTCCCCCCATTCCCATTCCCTCTTCAGCTTACTGAAGTCTGCCTCTGCCTCAAGCAGCCACTGAAACTGCTTGGCTAGTGATCAATGATCTGAGTCCAGGTCTGGTGGATTCTTTCTAGACCTGATCTGATTTGATCTCTGCAGTTTCTAGCACCACAACCCTGATTCCCTCAAATGCTTTCTACATCATACATGGGCCCAGCTCCTCCTGGTTTTCATCCTACCTCTAGGCCTTTTTTTTTTTTTTTTTTTTAGAGACAGAGTCTCACTGTGTTGCCCAGGCTAGAGTGCCATGGCGTAAGCCTAGCTCACAGCAACCTCAAACTCCTGGGCTCAGGAGATCCTACTGCCTCAGCCTCCCAAGTAGCTGGGACTACAGGTGTGCACCACCATACCCAGCTAATTTGTTTAATGTATTTTTAGTTGGCCAATTTCTATTTTTAGTAGAGACGGGGTCTCACTCTCGCTCAGGCTGGTTTCGAACTCCTGACCTTGAGTGATCCACCCACCTCAGCCTACCAGAGTGCTAGGATTACAGGTGTGAGCCACCACACCCAGCCTGGGTCTTTTTTTTTTTTTTTCAGACAGAGTCCTGCTCTGTCACCTGGGCCAGAGAGCAGTGGCATCATTGTAGCTCACTGCAACATTGAACTCCTGAGTTCAAGTGATTCTTCTGCCTTAGCCTCAAAAGTAGCTGGGCCTACAGGCATGCTCCTTGAAGCCCAGCTAATTTTTCTATTTTTTAGTAGAGTTGGAGTCTTGCTTTTGCTCAGGCTGGTCTCAAATTCGTGGTCTCAAGCGATCCTCCCACCTCAGCCTCTCAGAGTGCTAGGATTACAGATGTGAGCCACCGCATCTGCCCTCTGGCTCTTACTTCTCAGCCCTTGTGGGCTCTGTTTCTCTCTGCCCCTTATATTTTATTCACCAAGGGTTTGCTTTTCTTACTCTCACATTCACTGCATGAACTGACTCCCTCCATGGCTTTAGCTACCACATGGATACCATAGCTCCCAGACATACATCTTCAACCCAGAACTCTTAACCCTGTTGCCTACTATTAATCTGCACTTAAATATCCCTCAGGCACCACAAAAACATCTACGTAATTGATCTCAACATCTTTCTCCCCAAACCTGCTTCCCAAGGAAGATGCATTTCAGTGAATGATATCAATTAAACTCTCAGAAACCTAAGAGTTATCCTAGATTCGTCCTGTCTCGGGCCATATCCAATCAGCCAGCAAGTCCTCTCAGTGCAGCCTTTGGCATCTTTCTCACATCTGCACCTGGTCGCCATCCCGTGTCATTGCTGTAGATCCGTTATTCTTCCCCCGGGAGATTGCTGCACTTGCCTCCTTGCTGATCCTTCTTGTCTCACTCTCATCCTGTCCAGTCCGCAGCCGCTGGTGATTTCTAAAACACTTACCTGATTGTGTCCCTTCAGTGCTTAAAACCCCACCATGATTCCTCACATCTCCAGGATGAAATCCCAGCTAAGTCTCATGGTGTACACAGCACGCCCGGCCCACCAAGGACACTTCTTCAGTCCCTGTCACTTCACGCCTCCATGTCGCACCTACATGTCAGGCCTTCTGGACTATTTGTAGTTCCCCAAACAAGCCACTCTCTCTGTCCTTTCCATGTATTTTCACCTGCTGCTTCCCTTGCCTTGAATGTCTGGTTTCTGTTTCCTTTCTCATAACTCATATTCTACCCTCTCCCTCACCTGGCCCAACTAACTCATAATTGGATGTCCAAAAGCCACCTGATCTGGGAAGCTTTCCTTTAAGTTCCTGGTTCTCAGGGCACCCTATATATGTTACAACACATGTGCTATCATGCAAGTATTTTTACTGTTGTTGTTGGTTCATCTTTCCTGGTAGAGTTCCTTGAGAGCCGGAGCTATATCTAAATTATGTATATATCCTCAATGTTTTGCAGAGTGCCTGGTATATAGTAAATAATAGATATTGAATAAATAAAAGGAAGCTCTTTGATATTGTTATTAAGCCACACTTATCATTTAATTCACCTTATTTTGCACCACTTCAAATAACACAAACACTTCTACCAGAAAAAAAGATCATCTAAATTTCCAAATCACTGACCACAATCACAGTAAACACACACATACACAAACACATTGCTGCATTAGCCAGAAGCCGGAGACAATGTGAAGACGGATGTATACAGCATGACCTGGTGGCTCTCAGAGGGTTCTCTCCCACTCCGTATGTCCATTTTTCTTTAGAGAACAGTTTTCCAATCAGTGAAAAGGGTAGCTTGATTGAACCTGGGCCCTTCCATTACTTATGCTAATCATTGCTTTGGGCTGCGAGAGCCCCTTGTTCCTCTAGACTAGAGCTCTACTTTCCTTTGCTCAAAAGCACCTCTGAAACGTTAACAGACCTGAATGTGGGGACAGGGAGGCAGTACCCGACTCAATGTCTGCACCAGAGTCCTTTATCTTACCATCGCTGCCTGTCACACTGCCTGCGACCCTACTGGGAATCTGCGCAAGAAACCACAGTACCTTGGAAGCCTGCGGTTCTCCCAAGTAGGAATCATCGTCATCTAACTTAGTGGGCTGCAAAGTGTCCCGGGTGGGAGGCATGGTTACATGCCAAACTACGTTCTTATGAGGGATGGGAGGCCAGCGCAGCCGCAGCACAATCTTGCCGGCGGAGGATCCCGGGTCCCAATTGTTTGGAACGCCCAGTTTCTGTTGCCTGGCAACTGCCCCACCATCTGTGACCCAGATGAATTCCCTTGGAGAAGAGCGCCACCTGGCGGTCCAACGCGGAGGCCCCTCGCGAGGAAGTTACTGGGAATGCGGTGGGAAAGAGCCGCGAACCGTGCGGGGAAGCTCTGAATTTGCACTCCTGAGCCTCAGTTGAAAGTCACCGGCCTCCCACCGTACGGGACTCCTGCAAAAGACTTCAGCTGCGGAAAGACGTCCTAAAAGATGACCCAGAAATTTCCTTCTTCTCGCACGTAGCAAAAGGCTTTCCTATTTTCAAAGCAGTGAGAGAATGAGGATGTCAGGAGACCAGACAGCCCGCGTGCTGTGCTTGGAAAATTGCCAGCTAAGGCAAACTCTGCTCACTTAAACTCGGTTTAACTATACGAGTCTTAAGAGCTTCTCATAGAGCCAGTTGCAAAAGCACGATGGATGTGGCGGGCTGGAAGTAAGATCTCCAGAAGCGGCTTTTGCAGGAGGTAACACGTACTGGGGCCACTCGTGTAGGCGACAACTTCTGGAGGGGAGAGACGGCCTCTCAATCTTCTTTCAGTCCATACGCCGCGTTTGCAAAATTAGGGAGGTTCATAGATGGCCCCAGGCCCGAGAGGGCAGCAGAAAACAGGAATTTGTTGGCAATGGCTTGGAGGATGTTTCCACCGCGTTCTTTACAAGAGCCCTGGGTCCGCCTGTTGGGCCGGTTGCACACCGCGGTCGCGCGCACCGCCACCCCGCGCGCGCCAGCGGCGGCGGCTGCCATGGCGACCGGCAGGTGAGCGGCAGAGGTGCGCGTGGTCCCTGCCCCACCCGCGCGGAGCGAAAGAAGAGGCGGTTGTCAAGGCGACGTGGGTAGGAGGAGAAGAGGACGGAGGGAGGAGGAAGGATGGGCGGCCTTGGCGTAGCCGCAGGGAGGTGACTGAAGCGAGCCCAGCCCCTTGCATCCTCCCCCTGTGTACCTCCCTCCCCTTTTTTTCCGCCGGCTGCCAGCAGAAGCGGCGGCCGCAGCACCTGAGCCACTACTCCCGCTCACTCAGGACAACGCTATGGCTGAGCCCGGGCACAGCCACCAGCCCTGTGCCAGAGGCAGGGGAAGGAATGAGAGGCACACATTCCGGCTTCTGCGGCTGCTGCTCTGGGCTGGGACCGCCTTCCAGGTGATCCGGGGAACGGGACCGGAGCTTCACGCCTGCAAAGAGGTACTGCCACCCCCTGACCTGACCCCGCTTAGGTCACAGAAATATTGGATCCAGGCAGAGACCTGGGGTGCCAGGCGCTGACAGTTTAGATGCCACGGAGTTTAGGTTTCTTTAGGGATGAGGCCTGGGGGGAGGGAAGAGGAGCAGACTGGCGTCATGAGAAAGCCAGCCCGCTGGAGGACTCACGAAATAGATCATCCTCACAGCTTGGGGTGCTGAGCTCAGCGAAAGGTCCCAGCTCCACGAGGAGGAGTGACCTGGGTCCCTGGACTCGGGACGAGGGAGGAAGAAGACCTGAGTTGTTTTCCAGCTGGGGTGAAATTACCTTAAAAGTGGTTGACGGTAAAAGACTATGTACAGAGAAGCAAAATAGAGAGAGGAAAGGAGAGTAGTGGGATAAGAAAGGCGTTAAGAAGGCCAGAAAAAAGTAGCGGAGAAAAGTGGGAGTCCCTGTGGTTTTATCATGACTTCAAAAACAGTGTCCAGGTGGGAGATATGTGGGAGGGATGGTAAGATCCCATCAACTCTCCCATTCCTTATTATTAAACATCCAGTTACCTTGCAGGCTGCTAAATGTGGGTCCTCTTGACAGCTTCGCCTCTTCCCCGTACACTTTGTTTAGTGTACCTGGCAGCACATAACCCACCTTTGTCCTGATTTTGAGTTCTTTAATATCTCATTTTCTACCAGTCTCTACTCTGCTTCTCTGGACTTCTGCTAACATATGTCAAAAGTCTTTTTCAAGGTGTTTACAAACTGTTGGCAACAGAATTCAAACAATAGGTAGTGAATGTCTTCCAACAAAAATGTCTTTTGTAAAGTCTTTTTGGAGGGGCACAAAAAGTTTGTTTGGAGTAATCAAACTAAGTAGTTTCTATATTATTGAAATAACCATATTTGGTTGTGCTCTGAGTAACCTTTTTAAACCATATGGCAGAGGAAACCGTAAAATATTTTCAAGAACTGCATTGTGGAAAGCAAAATAAAAATTCTGTTATCTCTGTGAAATGTGAAAGACTTCATAGAAAGTCAAGAGTCTAGCTCTGTGAATGTAATCACAAATGTCACACTGGGGTAGGGTTTTAAGATGTTAAAATATTTTTATAAGCTGTTAGTGTTAACTGATTAGCAACAACAACATTCCATATTGAGGCATATTAGTATAAAGGTGTTCTAAGCCTTAGACTGTCTACAACATAGCAGATCATGAACAAGGGGGAAGATTTTTGTGCATGTAAAGATGTTTGGCTTTTCATGGATATGATGTAAGTGACCCAAGACAGTAGGACTTTTGACAACTTTCATTAGACCCAATGACCTTGGGCCATCTGCATTTCCACCCAGCCACTTTATGACTTGTTTTAGAGATGCCTGGGAACAGCCATCCTACCAGCGACTCTGACTCACTGGCCTTAGTGTCCCATGGTCTAACCAACCAAAATAATGAGAGCCTAGCCTAACATTCTTTGCCTAAGAATCAAACACAGGAGTCTCCTGAGTGGAAGGTAAGAATCTTAGGGTTCAACTACCAATTCTTGTTGAGGTCTTTGTCAGCTACGGGAGATATGAGACATTTAAGAAATTAAATGCTTCATATCATCTTGGTTTGGAGAGAGGGAAGCACATTGATATTTGACAACTTTAACTTGTATAAAAATTTTTGCTTTTGGCCCTATTTAAATGACCAACATTTGCCTAAGGAAAAGATCTTGCCACAAAGCATGAGCTTTGGGTGATGGAAAGCTGCAGAGCTCAAAGTACCAGGGTTCTAGTCCTGTTACTTACCACCATTTTTGGATCTGCAGAATGGGTATTACAATAACACCTACCTCAGAAATGACTGCTTTGAGTACTGAGAGAGAAAATACATATAAAACACAAAATAGGGTTAGCTAATCCCATCCCATTACCTGTTCATCTTTTTTATTTTATTTTATTTTTTTGAGACAGGGTCTCATTCTGTCTTGCAGGCTAGAGTGTGGTGGCATCATTATAGCTCACTGCAACCTCAAACTCCTGGGCTCAAGTGATCCTCCTAAAGCCTCCTAAGTATCTGGGACTACAGGCACACACCACCACAACTGGCTAATATTTCTATTTTTGTAGAGACAAGGCCTCACTATGTTGCTCAGACTGGTCTTGAACTCCTGACCTCAAGGGATCCTCCTGCCTCGGCCTCCCAAAGTGCTAGGATTACTGGCATGAGCCACCCCGATTGGCCCCTATTCAGCTTCTTTACCATTGGATCTGCACCCCATGCCAAGTTGAAAATGGCTTAGGAGGCATGCTCATTGGCCACGGGCGTCAGCAAGAACTGTTTACACTCTCCTTGAGCAAACAGTGGCCCCTGAACACCCTCGACTCCAAAACAATAAGGAAGGGAATAAACCCATTATTACAGTATTCTTCATTTGGCAATATGAACTGATCCAACAAGTTTGGGGGCTTCCAACCCTAAATGGTGAAAAACCAATTCAGGGTAGACTATCCCTTCTATGTTCTTAATCTTCACATTAATTTCTTGTGAGCCTTAGTTGGGTGTTGATGGCAGGGACTCTTATCAGGCCAAGGCTGACCATAATGACAACAATGCTGCCCCAGCCTTGTTTGTGAAAGCTGAGGCATCCCCCCTGGATCAAATCAGGAAACAGAAAGCCTAGACTGAAAGCCTAACTTGAAGCTTAAACTGAGGTGGCAGAGAACTGGGAGTTCTAGACTGGTAAATATATGCCAGGGCTTGGTGTTCCTCTCACAGTTTTACAATAATCAGGGTCACAAGTGAAACTAAACATCCTGTATGATGTTTGTCTTCATGAATCATTTCTCTAGCCCTGCGCTGGCCAGGCTCAGTGCTAACTGAGAGTCAAAGGAGCATTTCCCTTTAACTGCCTTTGACAGGATCCGTCTTGTCCTGAGGCTCCAGTGCTAATTGCCCTCAGGAGGACTTCTCACTCTATATAGAAAAGCCCAGGGGGCTTAGGAATCTGGCAGACATGGAGTGGAATAAAATTTGTTGAATGAGTGATGTGATTTAGTAAGGATGCTATTTTGAGCAAGTTAATTAACTTCTACCAACCTCAGATCCCCATCTGTAAAATGGTGGTGGTTAATACCTCACGGCAGGGCTGTTGTGAGAATTCAATGAGGTGAGGTAACACCTGTAAAGTGCCTAGTACATACCCCTGACATATCATAGGTGCTTAGTAAATGTTGATAGGCAGAAAAGCTAAGTACGCAAATAATGACATGTGAATGATGATGTAAGGTTAGCATGTGGTAAACAATGCAGGAGTGGCAATATAAAAGTTAATAGGAAAAGAACGAAGAAAACTTATTTGAACATTTGGCACTCAACCTGCTTCTGGAATAATCAGGAGCATTTCAGTGGAGGAAGGGTGGAAGGGTGCTTTCTAGATAGAGGGAGGAGCCTGAGGAAAGGTCCACAGGCGGAAAAAGGCAAGTGATCTTGGGAATTGCAAGTAGACCAGTTAGCTGAAATGTGGACACGTGTGGGCTACAGTAGAAAATAAAATTGGAAAGTTGGAAGCTAAGTGGGGAATCCCTGGAGGATTTCTGACGGAGGTAGCAGCCTGCTGGGAATGGATTAGCATGAATATAGAGTACCCACGTGGTTGAGGTGGGCCGGAAGGTGAGGGCACAGAGGTGGGGCGTGGAGACCAGAAGGTTTTACTGGGGTCGAGTGGAGGTTAATTCAGGCACTGCACTGGCATGGTGGCAGCGGGGTCACCAGAAAGGCGTAGGTATGACAAATACGCTGACGCTACAGGTGAGAGGATTTGGCGACCGATTGGAGGTGTAGGATGTCGGTGAGGGGCAGGTGAGGATTTTAGAATGGAGAATGGTAGGAGTTACTAGCCACAATGCAGAAAGAACAGCTTTAGGGAGCAGAGTCATCTCTTTTCTTGGTTCTGACCTTCCTGGGATCAGCCCCTGTAGTAGGTGGGGAAAGTTCTGGGCCTTCGGCATGCTGCTTCACCATATGACCACAGTTTCTAGGCTTTTATATGTTTTCTTGAATTTGGTTCACACACGTTATTTGAGGTTTGAACTCCACAGGGCCGTGGCTAGATCTAGAAAACATTGCGAACTTGTCAGGAAATATTTCAGGAAAGTATAAAATTTAAAATGACTCCCTTGGTAGGGAACCATTAAGGTTGGATGTTTAAACCACCCTGCCATAGTAGGTGAAGAGAGAAAATTAAAACTCTCCATTTATCATGAAGTGCTGATAGGGTAGCGAGATGTGCTGTTTTTGTTTGATATCAGAGGGGGCTAAAGAATAATGCATTCTTGGGATGTGAAGACATTTAAGAAGTTATTTTGTCTATTCTCCTGTCTCAAGGTAAGTGTATCCTAAAACCAAACTAGATTGATAATACCTGACTTATTTTTTAAAAAGCTTTAAAAATTATAAAAGTGGCATATTTCACTGACAAATTGGAAAATATAGGTAAATAGAAAGGAGATAATAAAAACTGCCTATTATATAATATCACCAGTCAAACTATCTTTTTTTTTTTTTTTTTTTGAGACATAATCTGGCTCTGTTTTCCGGGTTAGAGTGCCATGGCGTCAGCCTAGCTCACAGCAACCTCAATCTCCTGGGCTCAAGCGATCCTTCTGCCTCAGCCTCCTGAGTAGCTGGGACTACAGGCATGCACCACCATGCCCAGCTAATTTTTCTCTCTACATATTTTTTAGTTGTCCAGATAATTTTCTTTCTATTTTTAGTAGAGACAGGGTCTCGCTCTTGCTCAGGCTGGTCTTGAACTCCTATCTTGAGCCATACACCCGCCTCAACCTCCCAGGGTAGTAGGATTACAGGCGTGAGGCATCACATCTGGGCTCAAACTATCATTTTGATGTAAAATATTTATGAGGGAAAGGCAGAAAACTGGTTCAAAGTGTGGAGTCCGGATAAAACTGGATGGGTTGGGTTCAACTTCCAGCTCCTCTATGTAGCAACTGTATGATCTTGG